AAACTGCTTGTTAAGGATCAAAGAGAAGTTTTCAATTTACAGGTTCTCTTTGTTTACTTGTAAACTTGTAATTAGAAAACTGCTTGTTAAGGATCAAAGAGAAGTTTTCAATTTACAGGTTCTCTTTGTTTACTTGTAAACATGTAATTAGAAAACTGCTTGTTAGGGATCAAAGAGAAGTTTTCAATTTACAGATTCTCTTTGATTACCTGTAAACTTGTAATTAGAAAACTACTTGTTAGGGATCAAAGAGAAGTTTTCATTTTACTGGTTCTCTTTGTTTACTTGTAAACATGTAATTAGAAAACTCCTTGTTAGGAATCAAAGAGAAGTTTTCAATTTACAGGTTCTCTTTGTTTACTTGTAAACTTGTAATTAGAAAACTACTTGTTGCGGATCAAAGTCTTGTTTGTTGATTGATTAAAGAAAGGAACAAGATTACAGATGAAGGAAATAAAAAAAAATATGAAAATAGTTACCAGCCTAGCACACTTATGTTTTGTGAGTAACTCTGTATAACCTATTCTGAGAGATACATGTTGTCCCACGAAACATGACAGTTGGTGAATAGTTTAAAATGTCTTCTTCATGCATATTTTGATTTATTGTTTGATACTAAAGAGACTAATAACATATTTTATATTACAGTTATACTATAGTAAAATTCATTTCACAGTAAAATATGTACGAGTTAAAAAAAATTTAAAGAAATAAACTGCAAAAGGTTGTAATATCTAATACAGTATTTGGAAGAAGACATTCAAAACTGTTCACCAACTGTCATGTTTCGTGGGACACCCTGTAGTTAACAAAAATTAATAATTTTACTTGCACAGGGCCGCGTTTTTTTGCTCAGTCTATTCCACTGGCAACACCGAACATTTTGTTATAAGCTAAAGAAATTGAGTCTTTGCCACAAACTCAAATCTTCTAATCCATTTCACTTTGCAAGCTAGTGATGGTGTGAACCTTTTATATTTCAAACTAAGATTATTTGATACAACAGAATTCACAGTTTAAAATATCTAAGGCTCTAACATTGGGTTGCTTGGATGTAGAGGTTAAAAAAAACTCAATTCCTTTGTAAGTGGCACAGGGCAACATGAATTTCTCTAACACTAAACAGTAGAGCTGGGGTTGAGAGGACAAACACGTGAGAAATTACGTGAATGTGAAAAGGATATAATTTAACTTGAATTACTAGTATAAATTATAATTATTTATAATCAACTCCTTCCGTCGTATACTACCTACCCCATTTTTTTAACCCCCTCGGCCCCTCCAGCCCTCCCCCCGAGACGAGCCCCGGTGGTTTAATGATAAAATCATTAACTCTTGAAATTGTCACTTTACAGGAAGTATGAGAGTTGAATAAATCCACGGGAGGTCGGTTACTTATATTACGTGGAGGGGTAATAAGAAGGATTAGCTCTGCAGAGTTAATTTAGGACCATTTTCTTTATATACAATGGTGTCCATAAAAATAATAGAAGGAAGAAGATTTTCGAATTTGCAGATAGTAAAATCAACATGAAACACAGAAATTATGCTGTGGAACACACGCAATTTTCATGCCACCTGGTATTGCCGCCTTCATCATCGCTTTAATGTCGTCTTCCAATTCCACAGTTTTAGGGTTCACTTCATATGTTGTTTCATATCAAAACTTTTATCAACTGTCCTACTTTAAACTACTCTAGTAACCTATACACCGTATCTGTTACTCTGTCTGATATATATCAAATGTATAAAATTCCTGTCCTGAATTATATGGAAGGAATGAGCGAAATACAAGGTCCTTGCATTATCTCCCGCATTTTTCAGATGTTTGAATCTGAAAGATGGCGCGGAGGGGGAGGGAAAGAACACTTTCTTGCATTCCTCACCAGATGTCTAGCCCCAATCATCTCGGACAATGTCTTCTTTAAACATGGAATTTGATTTACAAACATTCAGAGGTCACAGTTTAAAATAAGCCTCACTAAATTCCATTTTTTCAAAGATATCTATTTTTTTTCAGAAACACATTCATCCAAGACTCCATCCGCCTTAAGGTCTTGCGTGTCTGCCTTGAGATCCGGTGATTCTGCATTGAGGTCCTATATGTTTCCCATGAGGACCTATGTGTCCGCCTGGAGGTCTTTGATTTTCACCTTGAGGTCCTGCACGTCTGCCTTAAGGTCCTGTGTTTCCGCCTTGATAACCTGTTGGCTGTGTTTCCGCCTTGAGGTTCGCATATGTCCGCCTTGAGGTCTTATTTGTCCACATCGCGGTCATGTGTGTCTGGTTTGAGGTCCTGTAGTCCACGTACCTTGAGGTCCTGTATGTCCGCCTTTAGGTTCTGTTGTCCGCCTTGAGGTCCTGTTTGTCCACCTTGAGGTCCTGTTTGTCCACCTTGAGGTCCTGTTTGTCCGCCTTGAGGTCCTGTATGTCCGCCTTGAGTTCCTGTGTGTCCGCCTTGAGGTCATGTATGTCCGCCTTGAGGTCATGTATGTCCGCCTTGAGGTCATGTATGTTTGAGATCATGTATGTTCGCCTTGAGGTCCTGTAGTCCGCCTTGAGGTCATGTATGTCCGCCTTGAGGTCATGTATGTCCGCCTTGAGGTCATGTATGTTCGCCTTGAGATCATGTATGTTCGCCTTGAGGTCCTGTAGTCCGCCTTGAGGTCATGTATGTCCACCTTGAGGTCATGTATGTCAGCCTTTAGGTCCTGTGTGTCCGCCTTAAGGTCCTGTATGTCCGCCTTGAGGTCATGTATGTTCGCCCCCTAGTGTTAGGTGAACTTGAAAACAAGCATTGTATTCAGCTTCTGCCTTGATGGTCAAATCAAATTCCAGCCCAGGATTGATAGGTTACAGTATACACCTACAAGATATGGAGGGCTGGGCGGGGGTGCAGGGAGGGGGTATCAAGTGGGGTGCAGGGAAGGTACAGGGAGGGGAGGGGTATTAGTGGTTTAAAATGAGAGGGTGGGGTGAGGATTCAAAGATTTGTAATTCTATTGTATCCTTTATACAACTATGCAGTTCACGTAAATAACGATTCAGGGAGATCTAGTAGATGGAGATATATTAGATAGATAGATAGATAGATAGATAGATAGATAGAAATATAAATAAGAAAATATATTAGGGAACTATATTTTAAAGGTAGAAAGGGAAATATATTAGGGAGATATATTAGATAGGTAGATAGGGGGATATATTAAATAGTTAGATAGGGGGATATATTAAATAGGAAGATAGGGTAGATATATTAGACAGGTGGATAGGATTAGGGAGATATATAAAAATAAGTAGATAGAGAGATATATTAAATAAATAAATAGAGAGATATATTATATAAGTAGATAGGGAGAAAGATATAATAAATATTTCATAAGTTGGAAATTCTATAAATTGTGTAAAATCATAAAATCATAAAATCTAAAATAAGATATAAGATATAAAAGATTTATCTCTTCAAAAATAAATTTTATTATAATATTGAAATGGACAGGTATTTTTAACGATTTTCAAAACCTTTTCTTGGTTACAATTTAAAAATTTATTGAATATACAGGGTTACCCACAAAGGATGAGACTTCAGAGACGACTGTACAAAATAAACACTGTCTTTTTCTTTCTATTTAAGAATCCCGGCCTCTGTGAATCTGTTTTTTTCTCTGTCCATTCATTAAAAAGGCTAGAAAAAGACGATAGTTTTGACAGAATACTTAAGTTAACCCTGGAAACGTCTAATAAAAGAGTTTTAGGTCGTCTTTACAGTCTCATCCTTTGTGGGTAGCGCTGTATGCATAATGTTTTCGTTACTATTCAAATTGTTGGTGTGTTTAACGAAATATTGACTGTCAATACCATTAGAATGGTTGATTTTATCAATAACAAAAATGTGTATGTCAACTCTGATATCGATCATGTTTCAAAATTTCCCCCTGGATTAAAAGGTATGTGTTATAAAATGTCTTGATCAGATGCAATATTATAAAATGTCTTGATCAGATGCAATATTATGCAATCTTAAAAATCATGAATCTGAAACTTGAAACAGAAGATTTCTTGAAATAATGTTGTCATATAACGGATGAAATTTGTCAAGATATTTTGCATGCTTTTTCAAAATATGAATTCTGTTACAAAAAAATTTGCAAGTTTTAAATATTAATATAAGGTTAATCCTACTCAGCTATAATGTTACAGCTTGTACAGAACAAAAGTAATCAATAATTTCAATATTTTAATATATTAAATATGTTATATTTATCCCCTCGGAGATATTATGATAGATAAACGAATTTTTTAAATAACTTAAGAAATCAAAATTGGTTTTTACTGAAGTAGAAACCAATTGTCTAAAGTTTCTGGTGTAGAATTAAAGTGTATCAATACGGTTGGCAGACTGATACAAAGTCGTGATACAGCCTGATGGACATACAGCTTTCATAATCATTGCAGGAAGGGGGGGGGGGGTGCCCCTGATGCAGACATACATCTTTCATAATCATGACAGGAAGGGGGGGTGTTCAATAAGAAATGCGCAATGTCACTTTTGAAGAAAACCCACAATCGAAAAAAAATCAGTTTTCGAAATTATTGACATTGATATCGAATGATATCTAGTACAACGCTTGTAAGGGGTACCGTTGTGAATCGGGCTTTGCAATCTTTGCATGTTAAGTTGATGTCTATATAATCAACATAAATATGCATATTGTATAAATACATACCGAGGGCCTTGTATAATTCATACTTAATCATAACTTCATAATTTTGAGAGATATTTATACCCTTTGATGGATCAATTCGATCAAAAAAGTTTTTGAAATAAGAAATCAATGAGAGAAAAAGCATTAATATCAATCAAAGATGCACTAAACATATTCAAGTGAATTATAATAACCAAAGAACCATCAGACTTTATATTCTTTGATCAATGAAATATTCTTTGATCAATGAAAAACAAAAAACAGCTCTCTCGAAAAATGTGATCTTTAATAAAATCTTTTTAATGTTTTATTTTTTTAATCTACTTTACAAAACCAAATATAACAAAAGTATATAAATACTAACGAAAAATATTTTAAGACAGGCACAATTCATAAATAATAGAAATATCGAATTTGGGTCCGTCTTAAAAGGGAGTGTTCGCGAAAAATGAAAGGGGTATATGCTGATATCGAATTAAATTCGTTATTGATCGCTACTAGTTTTAATTTCATAAGTTGCGCCTAGAAGAAGAAAATGGTTAAAAACGTCTTATACCCAAGAGTGGAATAATGCATCTCCGTGAATATGTATGGGTCCGACGTTCTTTGGTTATGAATCGTTTTTAAGCCTTTTCTCCTTAAAGACTTAACAGAAAGAAGTAAAAATTCAATGCGACGTCAACCTATACCCCCTTTCATTTTTCGCGAACACTCCCTTTAAGCAAAGTCAATGATTTGTTGCGTTGCTAGCAATATGCTTCTAAAACTATTGTGCTAAGCAGCGGCAAATCTTTTTTCCACCGACGGCAATATGAATAGGAAAATAATTTTGGTGTAATTTTTGGCTTTTGAAATCAGCAGCACTTTTAGTATTGTCATTGCGCATTTCCGCAAACTTCTCATTATTAGCAAGATCTTGGTTATTTCCATTATGATCTAGGGCAAATTCATTATGACCAGACCTAGTCCCCGTATTTTTATTGTTATCGTTTAAGAAAGGCATCCAACCATCACTAGTGAGCGTGAGACCTTTCCAATCATTCACTAGTTCTTCAGATGTTTCAAGAGCATTTTCATTTACACCATTAAGAATATCATAGTGATTACTTGGAACATCAATAATATCAGTGTGATAGCTTGGAGTATTATTATGATATAGATTTATATTTGGAAGAACAATCGTTTTATTGTGATCATTTAGTATATCATTTTGAAAATGATAAACATTTGGAAGATCAGAATTTAGTTTTGTATTCTCCATATTTTTTCTCGAATTTCTGATCAAGTTTTTCCGAATCATGTTATTGGGATGGTTACTTGAAAAATTTGTCTTTGGTTGGTCGAGTTGGTCTCCATATTTGTGTTTTTGTTTTAAAACGTTATCCTCAAAACCCCGGAACCGATTGTAAGGGTTATGATAATTTACAAGTTTTAAAGGATCTCTGGATTTTCTATTTTGATGCATCAAGTATCTTAATCTGCTCATTTTCAGATCTTTGGCCATATTAGTTGGGTATTTGTTTGATTTAACAAAGGATTCAGTAGTGATCATATTCCCGTTCATTTCCATATTGGTTTTCCCGGATTCCTTGTCCATTTGGGTTGGATAATAGTTTTGCTTTCTAGGGGGTTTAGTGCTGTTTTCCTCGTCATCCATTTCCAGCTTGGTCTTCACAAAATCTTTGAATTCTCTGAAAAAAATTAAGTTGCTTATCGTTTAAACTTAATTAGTTAAAACTAAGTAAAATTATTACTAATTTAAAACATTTTATTTTAACATAATTTCCAGCAAAATTTTAGAATTTGGAAAATGATGATAATCTCAAATTTTAAGTTATTATAGTTATTATAGTTATTATAGTTCAGAAAATTTATTGAGATTGGAACACTACTAAAATTATGTTCACTTAACAATGCCGCGCGGAAAAAAGACGATTTATCAATTGTCACTAAATTTCCATGATTTTTGGGACACCCTATAGAGAAAAAATCAATTAAAAATAAAACAAACAATAAGTGATTCAAACAAATAACATTATAATACCTTTGCACCAGGCCCTATATAACTAAGGCAAGAATATTAAGAATAAGAATCTGAATACATAATCAAAACTATTAAATTCGTATTTTTGGATTGGGAAACCAAAATATTCGCAGGAAGGGATTGTTCATATACTTTGGTATTAATTAAGGTAACAATTATTGAGTGTTTTAACTCGAACCTTAGCAATACATTTTCTGAGAGAGCGTTCTCAAACCATCCATATTGTTCTCAAACCGACCATATCGTTCTCAAACCGACCATATCGTTCTCAAACTGACCGTATAGTTCTCAAACCGACCAAATCGTTCTCAACCCGACCATATCGTTCTCAAACCGACCATATCGATCTCAAACCGACCATATCGTTCTCAAACCGACCAAATCGTTCTCAAACCGACCATATCGTTCTCAAACCGACCATATAGTTCTCAAACCGACCTATTCGTTCTCAAACCGACCATACAGTTCTCAAACCGACCAAATCGTTCTCAAACCGTCCATATAGTGCGAAGAAATTAACGAATGCAATGAAAATGATTCTTGAAGAAACTGAAAGAATCTTATATAAACGAAAGAGGAATGTACGGGTTTAGGCTCATCTTCAACTTCATTCATAAAATGAAAGACATCGTTAACGATCACACATTGCTGAAGATAAATCATGGTTAACAATCAACCATCGTTATCGAACTAACTGTCAATGAACGGTAAATTTTATTGACAATCGTTAATAAAAAACGGAACAAAATTATTTTTGGAACAGAGCGATTTGGAAAGGAACGAACGATCCAGCTTAAGGCTCTCGTTAACGAGTTGGGACGAATTATTTTTAAAAACCAAGGCCATCCCAGTCTTAATTTAACTCTCTTGTCAAAAATAAACTTGAAACTCTGACTTTACCTGACATTTTGAATTAATGTGAATGCCTCGTTGAAGAACTCAAGAATTAATTTATACTCCTGAAAGAAAGTATTTACAAACTGTTAATATTTGTTTACCTATAACCTAAAGTACCTACTACATGTGTCTAAAGTACAGTAGGTTGTGAACCTATTACATAAAGTGCCTACTACATGTGTCTGAGGTACAGTAGGTTGTGTACCTATTACATAAAGTGCCTACTACATGTGTCTGAGGTACAGTAGGTTGTGTACCTATTACCTAAAGTACCTACTACATGTGTCTTAAGTACAGTAGGTTGTGTACCTATTACCTAAATTACCTACTACATGTGTCTGAAGTACAATACATTGTGTACCTATTACATAAAGTACCTACTACATGTGTCTGAAGTACAGTAGGTTGTGTACTTATTACATGTGTCTAAAGTACAACAGGTTGTGTACCATTACATAAAGTACCCACTATATGTGTCTGAAGTACAATAGGTTGTGTACCTATTACCTAAAGTACCTACTACATGTGTCTGAAGTACAGTAGGTTGTGTATGTGTACCTATTACATAAAGTACCTACTACATGTGTAAGTACAGTAGGTTGTGTACCTATTACCTAAATTACCTACTACATGTGTCTGAAGTACAATACATTGTGTACCTATTACATAAAGTACCTACTACATGTGTCTGAAGTACAGTAGGTTGTGTACCTATTACATAAACGACCTACTACATGTGTCTAAGTACAGTAGGTTGTGTACCTATTACATAAACGACCTACTACATGTGTCTAAGTACAGTAGGTTGTGTACCTAGTTTTCCGTAGAATAAGAAGACGATATTTTTGCAAATTTAGTGTATTTGATGTTTTCATAAAGAAAATTGGTTCAGTTTGAGTAGCTTGAGCTTATCAATTGAAATGTGCTTGTCTAGTGTCTACATTTGCTATATTTCATGTTCATTGGAAAATTCAAATTCATACAATAAGAGCCAGAAAACAGTGGAATAGAAAGACGACATTTAGAGCAATAATTAAGTGCATTTAATGTTGTTACAAAGCTAATTGTTATACTATTAATAACTTATTAAATTATTTATTAAGTGAAATGGGTCTGTCTACACTGCGACTTTGTTGTGTCTAATGTTTATTGGACTATTCAAAGTCAAACCTTGAGTCTAAAAGCCGTCTTTCTATTCCAGAGTTTTATGGTTCTCCCTGTATACTTTAGTCATGCATGTCGTCTTTTTTTCCCCAGCTTACTGGGTCCCACTGCACTCTGAAGTACAGGGCAACCCACAAAGAATGAGTCTTCAATGACGACCTTAAGAAATATTTCATAACAATTTAAAGGTTGAATTTGCTCTCCTATTCTGTACTGTAAACTGTAAACTGTAAACTGTAAACTGTAAACTGTAAACTGTAAACTGTAAACTGTAAACTGTAAACTGTAAACTGTAAACTGTAAACTGTAAACTGTAAACTGTAAACTGTAAACTGTAAACTGTAAACTGTAAACTGTAAACTGTAAACTGTAAACTGTAAAATGTAAACTGTAAACTGTAAACTGTAAACTGTAAACTGTAAACTGTAAACTGTAAACTGTACCGTCTTTACAAAATTATATTTAATGATTTGCAAGTAAAAATTCAATATAAGAATTTTAAAGCTTTAGGTCGTCATTATAGTATCATCCTTCCATGTAGCCCTCATATAGTGGCAGGGGATTATATCAACACAATGAAGACGACTTTCGATGTCAATTTTGATTCATATCAAGCATTTAAACAGCACACTTAAACATCTGGAGAACCCAGACCGCCATCGGGTGAACGCACTCAAACATAGAAGTCAAGAGAGGCTGTTAATTACTACACCATTTATTTATGTATTTATATCTATGAGTGTGAGTAAATCTTTATAATAATAATAATTAAAAAAGCTTCTCTTTGATCACTTGTAAACTCTTGCAAAGTTTTAGTTCGAAATAGCTTGTTAACAATCAAAACTAAAATGAAAAAGTCGTTTTCATTGTGTTAATATAATAGCCTACAAATGTAGCCCCTCCCTGTATACGCCGTGCAATGCATGCACCTACCTTGGTGCCTGGGGGATCAGGCCCAAACGGGAAAAAATCTGGTCCAAAGAAAAACGGTGCACTGTTCTCAATACAGGAGAGTTTCTTTCCAGTTTTATTTTAAAACTTCAATTTTTACTCTTTCATATCTTTAAAGCATGAGTTTGTTAACTCGTGATATTTCATAATTATGAATATTAAATATAGCAGAATTTCTAGTTTAAAATATTTAAGTTATATAGTCGTCGTCATAATAAAATGAAGACGACTTTCTACTTCAATTTTGATGTATACCCTTCTTTCAAACAGCAGAGACGTATAAACATGTAAACAAAGAGAAGCGGTCAATTAACAGGTTCTCTTTGTTTAATTGTAAACTTGTAATTTGAAAAATGCTTGTTAGGGATCAATGCATTATAAATTAAAAAGTTGTCTTCATTGTATTGATATAATTGCTGACTTCTGGCACAACATCAGAGATTGTAAAGTTAAAGGATTAGAAAATTAGTTAATGTGGTTTAGTTCCTCTCTTATTAAGAAAACGACGGTAAAATGATAAGAATTAAGAAACATAAAAGAAATTATCAGATTTTTTTTTCAATCGAAAACAATAAAAGAACAATTTTTTAAATCGTTAAAGAGTAGAAGATGTAATATTTTAAAAAAATTCTTTGTGAGGTATTTACAACATTCTACAGTGGAATAGGAAGACGACTTTAAAGCAATAATCAAGTGCATTTGGTTTACTAGTAACTTTTAAATCTGTTCTGGAGTAAAATGGTTCTGTTTAGACTGAACAATGTTCATTGGACTATTTGAAGTCATAACTTAAGACTAAAAGTCGTCTTACTATTCAAAATTTCAACCAAAATGTGCTTAATTTCGAATTTTTCTGTAGTTATTTCATAATCTAGCTTGACTTAAAAATTATTGATTGCAATTAAAGTTTTCTCTATATTCCTTGAGCCGGTCTTAATCAAACTCACTGCCACAAATCCTGGAAATAATATTAAAAATGATATCCAGAAAAAAAAATACATCTCAGCTACTATATCTATAACAATACTTTGCTTGTCTAGTCTGTCTGTTTGTTTGCATCCAATAAATGTCAAAACGATTGAACCGATCGGGCCCAAATTTGTGTAAGGCCCAGGGAAGGTTTATAAATGCTTAGAATTTCAAAAAATTTAGAAAGTTCACGAGAAAAAAAAAATTATTATTGCTTCGTCGAATAGAAAATGCGGAAAGATTGAGCAACAATTAAAAGCTGAAATAGACGATGGACGCGAAGCGCCTGATAGCATATTTAATTGAAAAATTAATACTAATTGTTTAAGAAAATTGATTTTAAAATCTATTAATTCAGAAATAACTAATCACACTTTTACAAAATAGAGTAACCAATGACATACAACGAATATACAGAGAGATTCAGAAAACTTTGGAATGAATGCTGTCGATTTTTGTTCTCGCTCTTATGTAAATTTTAAAGTGTTGCAGTGAAACGAATATATTTTTAAAAGGTTCAGAGCTGAAAACTTTAGAATGGGATATCCTCAATCCCGATCTGCTAATTAATCTGGAGATTAATAACATGAGAAGAACAAGCAATATTTAATCTGAACTGAAAACTTTAGAATGGGATATCCTTAATCCCGATCGTTCAATTAATCTGGAGATTTATAACGAGATAAGAACAAGCATTATTTAATCTCGAGATTAAGAAAAAGAGTGGATCAAGCATTAATCCCGATATCCACCATTCAAAATTTCCCAGCTCAGGACAAGTTTTAGAAAAAGTTCAGTTGCAAATTACAAAATCGGAAATTCCCATTATAAAATAAAATGTCCGAATAAAAACACAAAACTAAATTATAAACAATAAAATATAAAGAATAAACTAAACCTGTGAGAATTGCTGAGAATATATGCATATTGATGGCCTGCATAAAACTGCATTTATTGACTAGACTGTCACCAATGTTTATACCATTCTTTAAATCATAAATCTAGAAACTGCAAAGAGTAGGGCTGGGCAAGATAGAACTTTTTTTAAATACGTTCGTTAACGGTTTGTTGAAGAAACATAGCAATTACCGTTCGCTCGAAACCAATAACTTGAAGGTTCTTTTCGTTGATAAACGGATATTTCCGATGTGGACAGAGGTTGAGTAGAGTTAGAGGTTGAGGATAGCTTTTTTTCATCGGAGGAATAACTAAAATGAAACGAATTCGCATAGATTCTTGAATTAAAATTGCCCACAATGGATATCTATATCACGCAATTAGTATAATGAGTATACAACAGAATAATTCCCAGCTCTGAAAAGACAAACTCTGAAAAAATAAAATAATGGAAAGTTTTAAATAAGGCATTCATATTTTTTCTTTTATTCTAGACCAGGTTAGACCATGTTAGACCAGGTTTATCTGCCAGGGAGGATGAGCACTGCGGATAGAACAAGCTGGAGGCATGGGTCGACTTTGAAGTGTCGCAACGCCTTGGCCTTAAATTTTACCTTATTAACTTATTTATACTGTTTTGTAGCATTACATATGTTTATTTTAGAACTTATTCTTTAAGGCCAAGGCGTTGCGACACTTCAAAGTCGACCCATGCCTCCAGCTTGTTCAATTACTTCTCTTAAGCAATAATAAGCAAAGGTCTTACAGATTTTTGGGAGAGAGCTTGGAACCTCTGTATCACTGTGAGTTATCGATGGCTTTTGGTCTAACTTTTTTTTATTAATTGCAACCTCGTTTTCGTTTTGACGTTCGTCATTAAAACTTTCACTAATTTTTGAAAAACTTTCGTTTTTTCAAACAAAACTTAGCCAAGCGTCAGCCCTATCTAACAGAGAGAGAGAGAGTGAAGGTAAAAATATATTTTACAAGATTTGCATCACAAAAAATCACCAAACATAATCAAAACGTATCTTTTAAATATTTAAAAAAATTCAAAATATACATTTTGCTAAGGTTATTTGGATGTTAGATACAGGGTGTCCCACATCAAATTAGACCGCGTCAATGGGTCTAAATTACGATTTGGGGGACAAATCAGAAAAATTAACCCTATCCCCGCTGGGGTACTTGAAAACCAGGATACGCTGGGGGGGGGTCAATTTGACCCCCCCCCCTCTAAATCCCATGTTTTATGTCCAAATATGACAAATGATACATCATTAGAAAGCTCTTGTGCTCTACTTTTAGAAATTTGCAAATTTGCGAAAATTGAATTTTTTATCGCAAAATCCAGTTTTATAGTAAAAATGTTTGCAAAAAAAAATTTGTCCAAAAAATGACAAATTATACATTTTTGAAAAGCCCTTGACCATGCCATTTCAAATATGCAAAAATTTTTGCAAAATTTTAAATATCCTGATTTTTAATCAAGAAAAACTAAAAATGTGCAAATTTCCTTTGACAGGTTGTTTGCAAAAAATTTGCAACTTTTTTTTCGCAAAACTTGTGCAATCCGTTTCCTTATGTCATAGGCTTTCCAAAAAGCTAAATTTTATCAAAATCTGACAAGTGAAAGTGGGTCAAAAACAAAGATTTAGTTTGCTACAGGCAAAAGCAGTCATTCAGGCAGTGTGCCTGAGGACTCAGGCAGTTAGTATTAAAGCCCGGTTTTAGGCCTAAAGGGAGGGCTTTGGGTATGTAAGAAAAGTCAGAAAATTTCAACAGCCTCAGACCAATACTTTTTGAGTTATGTAAAAAAAACTACAGGGGGGGGTCAATTTGACCCCCAGCGGGAATAGGGTTAAGAAGAATGAAATATTTTGAAAAATTTAATAAGGCTAATAGAACTTTTTTTCCCAGAAAATGCTAGATTTTTTGAGTATTATGTGCGTTTTTTGGCGTTAAAGATTGGAGATAATCTAAATATGATATGGGACGCGCTGTATGATTCTAATCTTTTAATTTAAGGTAAGTACGCTTATAGTAAAGTTAAAGTAATAACAACTGAAAACGCTCTTCAGTTGACACACGTTTTTATATATCTTGACAGAAGACTGAAGGGGTATGTTTGTAACATGTAACAAATATAAATCTATTCATTTTTGTTTTGTTTACATTATTACTAACAATACAAATATAAGTTGCAATAACATTTTTCGCATAAATAAACATTTAGTGAATTGTACACTTTTCAAATACAAAATAATAAAAAACAATATTTAGAGATCTATAATGGTTTCTGAAATTCACTTGACCCTTCATTTGCCATGTCCGATGCAGGGAATAGGAATAAAGGGAAAGGAAATGGCGCTGGTCTGGCATGAGAAAGCCAGTCACACTGCTTTGCAGACCAGTACGTTAAACTAACACACACTCTTTTGGTACAGACACACAACATAATTACAGTCAAGGAAATTGCAGAACAATGTTGTCAATTATAATTAAACTTGAATAACGACTTTATTTGTTGTAAACTTTAATCAAGTTATATTCTTTGCATGAACATTTGGCTTATAGTGTTGACTTAAATATATAAATATTAAACTTATTTTTAAGTAAACAATTAACAATAAACAAATGTACTCTCGTAGACTGTACAAGTACCGAGATTCGTATGTACTGCATATACCTACAGTACACACCTTCGGTACTGTAAACTTACACACACTCTTTTGGTACAGACACACACACATGACGTTTCCGCCCCCTGGTCCGATGTACAAGGATGACTTGAGGTACACATTTGCCATGTCCGATGTACAAGGATGAATAAGGTACACATTTGCCATGTCGGATGTACAAGGATGAATGAGGTACACATTTGGCATGTCCGATGTACAAGGATGACTGAGGTACACATTTGACATGTCCGATGTACAAGGATGAATGAGGTACACATTTGCCATGTCCGATGTACAAGGATGAATGAGGTACACATTTGGCATGTCCGATGTACAAGGATGAATGAGGTACACATTTGACATGTCCGATGTACAAGGATGAATGAGGTACACATTTGACATGTCCGATGTACAAGGATGACTGAGGTACACATTTGCCATATCTGATGTACAAGGATGAATGAGAGATACATCATGTTTATACTTTAGCTACTGGATTCTCTGTAAAAATGATTGCAAATTTCTGCTTCTGCAGGAACAACGAAAGAATTGTTCAGAATTTAACACTTTTTAAGAAAGAAAAGTAATATCCTTCAAATGTTACAAGCTTTGATCAAGATTAAAGGTTGATGTTGCGAAATTTGACACGCCAATCTTGGAGGAACACTTTAAACCACGCCAACTGTCACTTTAGGTCAAAAATGACTTTGCATAACTTTATTTTTTTTGAAATTTAATTTACTTCAGAATTATATAGAATCTTGAAATTTTTGAAGAGCTGGGGGTAAAAATTGAAATATTGGACATGAAAAGGCAAGTTTTTAAAATCCTTTTCATATTTTTTTCCCAATTTTTTTATTTTCCCCTAAAACCTATATATGTTCCCTTTAATTAGCGAATTAAACCCTTTAAAAATACATCATCAACTTCTAGCGTGGGGGGGTTTATTTTAAATGTGGGGGTCTTTATTATGCTTTCTTTCCATCCACTTGGGGCCTGAAAATCCCATGAAAACTATAGATTTCACCGATTCACGGATTAAGGAAGTTTAAGACTTTCGATTCCCGAGGGGGTGGGGGGAAATCGTTACACACATAAGGAATGAGTGGGTTCAGATCTATACATCATAAAAATTCCTCTCTTAACAAAAGATCCACAAATCTAAAATGATAAGAAGGGTGTGCATGAAAAATAGAAAAATTTTCAGATATTGCATTTAAATGGTAAACCTTGCAAAATTAGGATTAATTCGACTTACAGTATTTCGATAATCCAAAAAAATATTTTTTTCAAAAATAAAATATAATTTTTCACACAACCCAGTAGAATGATATTTGATTTTGACCAGATTTCTCCCAAGTATTGAAGTATACCAAGAAGAAAGAGGAAAATTGATTTCTTCCGCCCAAATATGGAGATTTTAGATAAGTTTATTTTACGCTTGGATTAGATATAACTGTATCCAGCTGAATCACGGGGGCTCATATTTCACAACACATTGACTAGACGTGTATTTTTTCAATAAATTTCAGAGCGCTACTCGCCCCTCCCTACCTTTCCTTTATCTGATATAGACAACAGGGTGTTCCAAAAAACATGGGAATTTAGTGACGAATTCGATATCGTCTTTTCAAATAATTCTTTGATTTAGTATAGTGATACCTACTGAGAAAGCTGTAATCTGTAAGAGTTTCGTCTGCTATGTTCACATTTTGTTTCTTTATGTTTTGACTGCATACGGTTGTTCTTAGTAAAACAAGAAAAATCAAGTATACAAACAGAGTAACAAAGACGATATCGAATTCGTCACTGAATTCCCATGTTTTTTGGGACACCCTGTATATACTGCCCCTCCATGCCTTTCCTTGTACAGAGTGTCACAATAAACATGTGAATTAGGTGAGAAATTATACACTGTCTTTGTTCGTGAAGCATTAAGAAGTAAAATCAATTTTAGTAAACGTGGTCGGCTTTTATATCGATGCACTAAAGACGACTTTTCTATTTAATTTAATTTTATTTTATTTCAAACTTACGCTTTTTTCATGTTACAAGTAAACAAAGATTAACTGGAAATTGATAGCTTGTCCTTGTGTCCATGTTTATTCATGTTGTTTGAAAGCTTGGTAGAAAAAAAAATAAATACTAAGTCGTCTTTGTTGTATTGAGATATACGACGACAAACATCTGTTAATTCTCTTGGAAATTCAAAAATCTGGTTTACCAGTTTTGACGAAGATATTGAGAAATATATCCAGATTGCTCCAGTTAAATCAATATGAACGAAATTCTTCAAATGTTTTAAGATCCAAAGAAAGCGGAGCTAGCAAATTAGAATAGACGTACAGTATTTTCGCATTATTATTCAATTACAGGAAATCCATGACGGTTTTCTAATCTTCACTAAATTTCCCTTTTTTGGGGATCCTTAGGATAACATGAGGTGACAAGTAATTACCTTTAAACGAAAAAATTGTAAATTTAATGTCTAAGATTCCAAAATGGAGAAAAAATTAACGGAAAAAATGTTAATTCAGAGTTTGGATTTGCTAATTATATGGTGATACTCTGGAATAGAAACTCGACTTTTAAAGGGACCGTTCACTTATTTGGGTAATTTCAGGGTAAACTAAACAGCCTATTCGCTCTTGATTGGTAATAGTCTTACTTTCCAAAGACAACTGTGGCCGGAGAAAAAGCCGATTTTTCGTTCAGAATTCGAGCGTAAAGGGACGGTCCCTCTCTATAGACACTATTTGATGCTTTTTTCAGTAACAACAGCCCAATAACATTTAAATCTATTATATTTTAATGTCATTATGTGTTCGTTATTATGTACTAAAATATGAAAACTTTTTATATTTGAGTTAGCAAGAAATTTACGTTTTTCGTATTAAAACATGTAAAATGTGTATACAAAGACGACGTCTCTACGACAATCAATTAATCATTACGCGTATTTTGGTTCGTAGATTTTATTCGCGTATGTGCACAACTTTTCATTTTTCATGCCGCGTTCAATTCAGCTTTTTACACAGGCAATACACAATTTTAAATGCGATTAAATAGTGTTATTTTAGAAATAGAAAGTTAAAAACAAAAAAAGATAAAAAATACTGACATTTACAGTTAACGATTAGATACTACAGTTTAATTTTATATTCGAAATTTATTTTGATTCACTACATACTGGAAAAAAAACATTAAATAGTGTTCATAGAGAAGGACCGTCCCTTTGCGCTCGAATTCTGAGCGAAAAATCGGCTTTTTCTCCAGCCGCAGTTGTCTTTGAAAAGTAAGACTATTACCATAAATCAGTGAATAGGCTGTTTAGTTTACCCTGAAATTACCCAAATAAGTGAACGGTCCTTTTAAACTAAAACTTTTATTTGGTCCAGATAGCATAAGGCACAGCAATTGTGATTTAATAACTAACTAGTAAAGCTACTTGCTTTGCAACAACCTCAATATTGTTTAATGTCGTCTCCCTATTCTGGTTAGCCCAGTTTGTTTCATGTCGTTAGTATTCTTTAGACATAATTTCGATCGACTCCGTTTTTAAAGATGCTCGTGTCCGCTATGCAATTTTCAAGATATAAATACGACGATATCGATATCGGGTAGAGGTTGTGAATCGACTTACCATTCTGTTCATCAGGGGAACCTTGATGTCTCCTACATGAAACTCTGAAATAGTAAGACGACTTTATCGCAATACTTGGCGTTACTACAAAGGAAATAGTCTTACTACAGGTTAATTAAATCCCAAATTAGATGAAATGAGTTCGTTTACACTGTACAATTGCTGTGTCCCATGCTAATTTATAGTCTTAACTTGAGTCTGCAGGTCGTCTTCCATATTTAGGAGTTTTCTAGTTATCTCTATATGAACACTGTATCAGGATGTATTTTAGAAAAAAAACGCTTGTGCTACTAAAAATATATTATATTTATTAATATATTATTTCAATTTTTTCAAATTTTAAACACATTTTTATTTTCCATTTTAAACTTTGTAATGATCCAGTCAGGAAGTCGTCCGCCAGTGTAATCTCGATGAAACCTGAATAAGGATTAAATAATTGAATTATAATGAAGTAAAATATACATTTAAATTAGTATGGGTATGTAAACAAACATGGGGGCTTCAAGTGCGCTTCTTGCACTCTTTAAAGGGAATGTAAGCGTAACTTCAAGTGACCCTTCATGCGAAGATGTTAATGATAGGAAAAACACATCCTTTTTAATGTTTAATTTTTCCTTCAAGAGTATCGAAAATAGGAAAACCTATTGATTGGTGTGTGGTTAGGTTACCGAGTTAAAATATGGAAAACCTAGTGATTGGTGTGTGGTTAGGTTACCTAGTTAAAATATGGAAAACCTAGTGATTGGTGTGTGGTTAGGTTACCTAGTTAAAATATGGAAAACCTAGTGATTGGTGTGTGGTTAGGTTACCTAGTTAAAATATGGAAAACCTAGTGATTGGTGTGTGGTTAGGTTACCTAGTTAAAATATGGAAAACCTAGTGATTGGTGTGTGGTTAGGTTACCTAGTTNCCCCCCACCTCCTTGGAATTTGAAATTAAAAAAAGATAAAGCCCAACACACTTTTGAAGAAAAAGCATACTTATTCTGTACAATTTGTTGCAGCCTGACATCTGTAACAGTAACTTTCTTAATATCGGAGACTTCAATGCTGGAATTCCGGCGCAGTTCATCAGCCCAACTGATCTCAACCTGAGAGGGGAGAGTGAATAAATAGAATGCCGAAAAAGATGTGAAATACAAGGCAGCCTCCTTTTCCGTTTTTGTCTCATCTCAAATAAAATGTAATCAAACATTGCACTAGACTTACTAACTTATTTTTATGTCGACATTTTGACATAATTTCATGTAGTTGTTCAAAGATGATTTTCTATCTGCAAGAACGATGATAGTTATTTCTTCATCTATTAAGGGTTTGCAAGGGACATCAATGCTTAAAATCCAGCCAGGACAATCAAGGGGTTAGCCGGGAAAATGAAGTTGTAAGCTGGGACAATCAAGGGGTTAGCCGGGATAAATAAGGTGTAAGCTAGGACAATAAAGTGACAAGCCGGGAAAATAAAGTTGTAAACTGGGACAATAAAGGGATCAGCCGGGAAAATAAAGTTGTAAGCTGGGACAATAAAGTGACAAGCCAGGAAAATAAAGTTGTAAGCTGGGACAAGAAAGTGACAAGCCGGGAAAATAAAGTTGTAAACTGGGACCATAAATTGGTCATCAGGGACAATAGAGTGGTAAGCCGGGACAGTAAAGTGGACATAAATAGAAAATAATTAATTATGTACCTCGGTTCTAAACCGTTTCAGTTCAACCCTGGAGAGAAGTCCTCTCAGTTCATCCATCTTATTCTCAGCTACACATTGGAGAACAGCAGGCACAGCTACCCGCACACCGGATTCAAAATCTTCTTTCCTAATCAAGCAAGCAATCAATCAACCGTGGTTTTCTTTATATATATACTTTGCTTGTCTGTCTGTTGTTCTGTCTATCTGTTTGTTTGTAATTGTATCCAATAACCGTCAAGACGGCTGAACCGATCGGGTCCAAATTTTGTGCGGGACTTCACTTATCACCAAAGAAGGTTTACAGATGATTAAAATTTCAAAAATTTGCCTCCAAGAAAATTATATTTTCATTAAATTTAAAAATCCATATTTTTTTTTTAAATCCGCGAACTTTTGAATTTGTTCTTGTTTTACAAAGGGAAAATGTTCACAATTGAAAACGAAGATGGGCGGGAAGTGCTCTAAAAGCCTAGTTGGGTTTATTTTGCTAACACAGCATAGTTATAACTGTGGGGATCCCAGTGCTGTCTTATCTCCATAAACTTGAGATGAATCTTGAGAATGTTTAACGGATTCTGAATATGAACAATAAACCTGAAACATGAATAGAATAAGATTTGGTTTTGCGTTTCGATACCATGAGTCCCATTTAACTGTATTTAAGCGTTCTTATGAGTATTTTATGCGACTAAAAAGTGAATAGGTTTTCCAGTGACTTAAAGACCAACTTATTAAGTAAAATGGGTCTAGGTAAATACACTGTAAGTAAATTGTACATTGCATAATTGCTGTGATTCTTGTTAATTGGATTATTTAAAGTCATAACTTGAGCCTAAATGTCGTCTTACTATTCAACAGTTTAATGGATCTCCCTATATTAAAAATCCGCGAAAATAATAAGAAAAACCTGTCTTGATGAGATGTTCTAAATCCTCTAGAGCTTTGATATTGAATCCTGTCTTGAGTAAGGTTTAAGTTGCCTTCAAGACCAGCTGTTTGAACTGATGCATGTCCATTAGTAGGTGAGGCATAGAAGCTGTTTTTATTTGATGGTCTTGCTAAACGAACAGGAAATCCATCTTTCTTCTCTAAATACGAAAACATTGTAAATAATTCAGACTTTTTAATTATAACAAAGGACCTCATTTTATCCTATAAGCAGACTGAGAAAGAACGAGTAACCCGATCCATCAGCTCCCCCATTAGATAAATAGATGTGGGCCTCAGGGTAGGGGGCTTGTTAGGATCGTTTACTGGTAAATACGACCTATAAGGTCAGGCCGCATGTAGGACTTAATGAACCACAAGACATAGTTCAACAATTCGTCTGCAAAGTTCAGATACTTGAGAACATAGTAACAGTGAGAACCAGAAAACTTAGGAATGAATGAATCTTTGTGTCCTTTAAGCGAACTTTTTTTTACATAAACCTTAAGTTGCAAATTACAAATTCCTGAAATTTTTTTAACTGTTTTCTGCTTATTCTCACTTAAAAAAATAAGTTATTTCATCAAGTTCTCAACATGTTAGCCAACATATCTATTATTTGACTTAAAGGTAAATTAGAGGTAACTTTAAGAGACTCGGATAATAAAGTGACGAGGCATTCACAGCAATAAGTTTTAAATCTATATTTGAGAAACAATTATATTTTCATCCTTCATCCTGCAGCATTTTTTTGCTCAAAGGTTTAAATGAACTGTTATTAATGTAGAAGGTTTACGTAAACCTATGTCGACAGTGTCCCTTTAAGTTCTAGATTTACAATGAACAATTATTACCTAAATAATAAGCAACTAAGGGTAGAGCAAGTTTATCTTTCTTCCAAGATTTTTTATTTTTAAAATTCAGCTGTTTCCATCCTTCCTCATCCACTTCCTTTATGCCCTTGGTAACCTTCACAGGGTCCAGAACCAATATTTCAACTCCTGTATCAATATATCAATATCAGGTTGACAATTAGATGTCTAGACATTCATCAAACATATTAACAGAGAGACGACTTATAAATCGTCTTCGATATTTCAAAGTACTCTAAGTCTCATATGACAGTGGCTAAAATGTCGATGGCAAGCTGTAGCTTTGTCACCAAAAAAAACAGCATTATATAACTACAAATTTTGCGTCATGTTAAGAATTTTAAAAGCTTTTTAAAATTTTTATTTCTATTTTCTGAATTAGTCTAAAGATACCTAAATGTATGTAGTAGGAGTTACAATGTTACTGATGTAGGTTCGCTGGGAAATGGTTATCATAATAAATCTCTATTTGAAGGTTTCTTCTGTTAGTAAATAAGGCAGATTTTATGCATATTTAAGTAAATTATATAATATGATGATTACCTGCTTTAATCTGCTTTAATGAGAACCCTGCTTTAAGAAGAGTCCCAAGGTTTGTAATATACGATTCCAAAGGCTGGGAGCCCTAATCATATATTCAATTAAAATTACTGTAAAGGAATTGCAAGTAAACCTCAATTCAATGACGGCAATGTTTGATTAACAATGGAACCCTTGAAACCTTTGAATGTTCGTCTTGTACAAAGATATGTGTAAACTTACCTGAACCCGCGGCAGCTTGTACGGTCAACTGAAAATGCCGGTTGGCCCTGCACTGTATTGAGTTGAGACTGTACCTGTACACAGCGGCAGCGCACACCGGCATTTTCAAAGGGGCACTTGAAATTACGCTTACAGTCCCTTTAAGTTATGGAATGGTTCAGTACATATACTAAATGATAATTTACCGAATTACTGACTTTCTAGTTTATCAATTGTGTGAATCGTTTCGTAGTTAAAAATAATGCCAACTTTATTGCAAGATTCACAATAGTACCCTGTAAAAATTGACAATATTTTAATCAGATAATGTGTAATTGGTACCATTGTTCATTGGATACGCAACTTTTCAAATTGCGTTAACAGTCCCTTTCAGCCCAATTAACTTTAAAATGCAATTTATAAAACTGTTATTTACTGCGAGTTTGAAAAATATTTTATTTACTCTAAAAAATAGATAATTCTAATCAATATTCAAATGTTAATTTATGTTATTTACAAATTGCATTTTCAACAACTTGCGATCAATTCAATAACTCACATAGAAGCTGTTAGCCTGGTTGATCCTGAAACCTAGTTGAGGTTCATCCTTCAGTCTGTCATATATTTCCTTTAGCTCGGATGAACTAAAATAATATTGTTTTTATTGGCCAATCAGGAGTAACCAGCGATATTGGTCAAAAAAAATCTTATAACAAATTGAACTTTTTTAATGAAGAAAAAGTCTGAAACGAAAAATAAAAACGTTGAGAAACCATTAATATTTCAATAATAAATTGATTAAATCGAAATATACAGCTACATGCAGCTGACTGGTTAGTAAATCTCTTTCAATTGCTAGATATGCAAGGCGTTCCGCGTCAATGATCCATCTTTGATCACATGATCTGTGACAAGGGCGGTACCTAAAAAATAAAATGACACCTGTGTTTAATATTTACCAGCCGGTCAGTTGTCGACTCTGGATCAGGCAATTTCCAGTTTACCATTTTCTAAAATAAACTTCTCTTTAAATAAATATTAAGAAGGTTATTTTTCTGTTTTCGTAAAAAAGCTAAAATTTAGGATTAAAGAAATAAAATAAAATAATTTAATTCAATTTTTTTAAATTATGTACAACATTAAAAACGTTGGATTAAATATGAAACAGAGATCAAAATTAATAAAAAGCGAGAAGTCACTTAAAAAGTCTACTTAGTCTAGTTGAACTTATTTATTTGTTAATCTCCATGGCAATTAAAGTATTTCAGCTAGGCCGGAGAAATTCTTCCCCAAACAAGTAAATTCAGCTCAAACAAAATTAAAATTTTTACATTAAGTCACTGCAGTTAAAAATATCCTATCGTCGTATTCATCCTTTATGTGACAAACAAGGAAAAACCTACGATATCGGTCCATGAGAACAAATCAAAAAATATTTTAAGCAATTAAAGTTCTAACCTTCAGTATATTTGTATGTGGGTCAGGTTGTTAAGCGTTGTCTGACCAATTGAAGTTCTAACCTTCAGTATATTTATATGTGGGTCAGTTTGCAGAAGCGCTGTCTGATTCTGGGTTAACTCACTCACTCTCCTGCTGTACTCTTCACTTCCCACTAACAATCAAAATTCATTTTTTTTCAAACAAAAATTTTAAAGTGCTAACCAGAAAACTATGGATTAGGAAACCGACATTAAAGCAATGATTTAGTGTAGTTGATGTTATAACAAAAGCAAATAGTTTTATTAATAACCTTTTGAGTCATTCAGTGAAATTGGTCTGTTTACACTGCAAAATTGCTGTGTTTCATGTTTATTTAAATATTTAAAGTTATAACTTGAGTCTAAAAGTCATCTTCCTATTCCAGAGTTTTATGGTTATCACTGTACCAAAATTTATACGTAGTGCATTAGATCGAATCCATTATGATTTTAAACCCGTTACTGGGAAAAAAGATGGATTTGAATCCAGATCTGGACTATCTACAGTGATAACCAGAAAGATCTGGAATAGGAATACAACTTTTAGAGTCAATTTATGACTGCACAGAAGAACCACATTTGCTCGGTGTAAAAAGGCTCAATTCTCTTAATAAGTTACTAGTGTCACTATTTGCTTTATATTTGTAACCACATCAAACGTAAGAATAATTGCTGTACTGTCGTCATCCTTTTCTACAGTTTCTTGGTCATCACTGTAAGAATCAAATGTTCGTAGAAATGGGGCCTTAAATGGATTAAGTTCAGCAATTATCTGCACATTCATAAAACGAATAATAAAAGTCTAAAACTTTGATAGAAAAAATTAGAAGTTTTGTTTTAAACAAACTTGATATATGAATCCAAAGCGCTTAGCGATAAAAAGTACAAATGGTCATTTGTCCCTTGAAAGTCTCCTCCTAGCTCATCATTTATTTGAGTAACCAGCTTTCTCAGTAATCTGATCAGGTTGGGGTCACCACTGTACAACAGCTCACTAAACCAGTTCTATTGATAAAACAATTCAAATTATCTAGGGTCGGATGTTTTGTATGAAAATCAACAAAGGAAAATTTGACATTGATAAAATCATATCAATCAGACTTTTGAAGATACAAAATTTAATTCAATAGAAGTTGTTGCCTAGAATGATTGCTTGAGAACCCTACACTGATCAAAAACTCGTAAAACTGATGAATTGATAAAGATTCATCGAGAAAAGGAGCTTGTGTTGTCAAAACATTCTTAAATCCTAAACATTAACTTTTTAGATTATTTAGAATTTAAGTTTTGTAAAAACATAATTTATTCAATAATCAAACATAGTGGATTACTAACACGAAAAGGAATACAAAAGATTTTGATAGGTGTTTTGCTGTGGTTAACTCAAAATTTCTGTTAATTACAAATTGCGTCAGTAAAAGAAATTTTGTTTTCATTATGAAAAGTTAAGAACAAACAAAACACGTGGAAAATATCATTATAAAGATTCAAGGAAGATGTTCAAAGAGAAGCTCAAATTATGATTTCTAAAAGTCCATTAAACATGAATCCCCAGAAACGTGAGGTGTGCATTGTACACCCATGTAACTGCAGTGAATCATTTTGCTTTATCATGATATTGGTTTCACATAAAATTGCATAAAAGTCGTCTTCCTAGCCTATCGTTTAACGAGCTTCATTGTATGAATTAAAATAGAAAAAAAATAAACGGGCCATCATTTTTTCATTGGGAAATTTGTATAATGTAGATTAACCTGCTTTTATCAATTGAGATCTGTGCTCTAGTCCAGTATTCTGGAATAGCGTTGAATCTACAAGGTTTAGATGAATAAGAAGCTCCAGAGGATTAAGTAGAGGTAGAATATTTCCATTCCTTCAAAAAATCTGGTTTCATCGGTTGATATTTTTTTAATAGAATAGGGAAAAAACCAACTGATTCTTTTATCAATAACAAATGTTTGCTCCAGATTTTTTATTTAGAGCTAAAAACAACATTTTTACCTATTTCCTGAGAAACCCTTCAGAAACGAACTCTTCAATTCAGTAAAATCTAAAATTTTAAATCTTTTTTAAATATTGAAGTGACCTTTTAACTGTGGAATGTGCATCTTCAATTTTCCTTTAAATTGTGAAGTTTTCTAAGGATTTTAAATCTTTAATTTTAACTTAAATTTTTTTTCAAAGGTAACGTTACACATTACAAAATTTTACAAAAAAATAACCAACATTCTTTCTTAATCCCACTACGTCAGATATATAATTAAGAATAAAAAAGATCAAAAGCACGCACTTTATAATATTCATTTATATCTTTAGAGCTTCAAAAACTATAGAAGATTCCATTTTTACATTTTAACAAGCTTGGGAATCCAACTTGAAACTTTTAACCCAAATAAACTAATATTCAAGTGTTTTCAACGAGTTCCCCAATCAAAATTTGAGGCAAATTGGTCCTCCGGGGGTTTCTTATTTATGATCACTGATCAGACATCCAAACATAAAGAAGTACTCTATATAATATTTACCTATTTGCATAATATTTCTGAATATGTACACGTTTCTTAATATATTGAGTCTGCTTAAGAGAAAGAATGGGTCAGATATCATAGCATTGGATTTACCACCCGGTGGAACTTGAAATTCAAAATCTTCTAAAATTTCAAGCAATTCAAACTTCATTATTCTTTAAAATATTAGAATAAAAATATAAAATTAAATAAATCATAATCATAAAAAAGAACAATATCAAGGTTAGGTTAAGAAATTTAACATGTTCATTTAAGGAAAAAATGGCTCTAATAAGATAAAAATATTTCCGTTTTTGAAAAATTTGAGTTTCTTTAAGCTCGAATTCCCTGAGCTGAAAGGTTGATCTCTGATTAGCTGTTCATAATTTAAAATTTCTCTTTGCATATTCACCATCTTCTCATCCTGCATTTCAGAAATAAAACCCTTTATCACCTAAAAATATATTTAAAAGAATTTAACAACACAGAAGGATGTCAAATACAGGGTTACCCACATAGGAGGAGACTACAATGACGACATAAGACTTTCATCAATCCGAGTCCGAATTTAATAAATTTGAGCCATGTCTCAAATCCGCCCAAAAACCGGTTTAAATTGAACGCCGGCCTAAATCTTGAAACATTAAATAAAATTTTAAGTGGAACCAACCCAATTAGAGTCGCGTCTCAAGTTTAAACCGTGGCTCAAATTCTTTAAATTCGGCCTCAGAAGGCTGAATTATGTTTTCTTCCATGCATAAAGTTGTTAAATTGAATACTTGATTAATAATTTGGCAAAAGATTCAAGACATAACATTCGCAAAAATGTTCTTGTGTAAGATAATAAATAAGATAATAAATCAGAGAAAAGTTTTACCTTATTTTTTACTTTAGTTTGTAAAATCTCAACTGCAGAGACGGCATCCATATTCTTTTCCAATATAAACTCAATCCTTGTTTAAAAATAATAAAAATTTCGTTTAATTAAGAAATAGACAATAACACCTGAAGTTTTGGCAAAAATGCGTTGATTCTCTTAACCAAAACTATCAACCCAATTATTTTCAAAGCCCAGAGGTCGAATTTCAAGAATTTGAGCCGCGGCTTAAATCCGCCAAATTCCGGTTAAAAGAAAGCGCCGGCATAAATCTTGAAACATTTGATACAATTTTAAGTGGAACCATCCAAATTTAAACCGCGGCTCAAATTCTTTAAATTCGGCCTCAGTACTGATAAACATTTTACCTTCTTGCCACACATTGGAATGCATAACTGTTCTTAGTAGAGTCCATGAGAGTATCCAGGAGTTTGTAACTTGCAAACCGAACATTCTTGTCCTTTTAATCGATGCATTGGAAACTTTACATAAAATTCAGATATTTCAGCAGGATCGAAAAGATAGTAAAATGCAAAGATGGGAAAGAACAATAGAATGAGAAATAACTGAGATATATCTACCTTTTAAGAGCCATATGAAAAATCTACAAAAAGTTTTTTACTCTTCAATTTTTTGTAAAGCTTAAGTTTCCGACATAATAAAGACTACATTACTTTAAATCCCCAAAATAAAGAAGGTTGATGATATGTTCGTATTTTAACGGAACGTCACTACTGTAGTTTAAAGTGACCCTCCATTTATAGAGTGGCATGTTCAATTCACAATACTACCCTTTAATCCTTTATTCGAGTAACAACGGGAAAGATATCGTCTTATAAAATATATCTTGAATAATGTTGAATTTAAACTATTTCCTTCTTTGCCTCTGCAAAAAAAAACCACGATTTCAAATAATTTACCAAAAATCAAAGGGTACCAGTGTGAACGTAAATGCCACTCAAAAAACGAAAAATCACACAAAATTCAGCAGACTGTTCCTTTAAATACACTTTTTATGGTGTTTACAGAATATTACTTTTCCATGCGTTAGTTCCTTTAAGTTGTTTTCATTTAGTATCCGTTGAAGACGTTCAGCTTTTATATCACAATTGATGTGGGAGAACTGGTTTTTAGGACCGGGGAACTCTTCAGAGAGCAAAATATTTTGGCATCTTATTCTCTTCTCCTGGGTCCCTTAATTTTCATATACATATATATAAGAGCGCAAATGCAATCTTCAAAATCCTCATAGATTGTTCATTTTAGAGGGATAATTTTGAGAATCGGTTTTATTTAAATTATTAAAGAAAACGTAGCAAAAAATTCTACAAATAACTAATTAGTTGCTTAGGAACAGGTTGAGAAAATAAAAATTAAGTAAAATAAGTATTCTTATTCAGTTATTGGTTTCCGTAATGTCTCAATGGTCAAAACGATTCTCTAGAAGGAAACAATTTTATCTAACATTTATTTCATGACAAATTTCTTATGAGAAATATGTTCCTAAACATCTTATTATAACTATTAATTACTACTTAACTAACTATAGAAATTCTGTTACATTTTTCTTCGTAGTTTTTGAATAATTTCGATAAAACGGATTCTTAAAATCATCCCTCCAAAATAGACAATTAATGAGGATTTTAAATATTGAATGGGCGCTCTTGCTGAACAAATGTGCACCCTAAAACAGTCTGATAGGTCTCAAATAAATCCTAAAATAATTCTTAATGATACTGCAATCTCAGTTCAACTACCATACATTGCCGGTCACTCACTTTTAACAAGATTCGCCTACAAAAATGCATCGGCCAATCAAAAGCCACAAAAATCTGCCAATGAGAAATAGGGAAAAAAGATTAAGCTTAATTTAATTCAGGATTTAATCGAAATTAAAATCATTAGCGTAACGCTCTAAATATCGAGTATAGATGTTATTGATTAGCCCATAAAAAATCCAACCTCAGTCATATCATTATTGGGACCCAAAAGCTTTAAAGTCATTTGTTACTGTAAGTTCAATAAAATTGTTGACGTCTTGTGTGTATTTGATGTTATGTTATCCAATAGTTTTACCAATTGCTTTAAAATAAACTTTTTAATTAGAGTGCACTATTACCGTGTTTCATGTTCAATGCAGTATTTAAATTAATAAATTTAGTCTAATAATTGTCTTCAATTTCCATAGTTTTATAGGTCCCACTGTAACACTGTATTAACCTATTTTTAAGTAAATACATTGAATAAAAGATCTGGTTAGTACCTGACAGTTTAATGTTTGCTAAAAGATGAGTTTGGCTGGAAATATAGTTCATCTCAACAGGATTCAATCCTGGAATCAAATATCGCAGGTTTCTCACATCTTCATGAACAAAACTGAAAAAGAAACAATTTAAATCTATATTTTGATGATAAAAGTTTTGAATTAAGAGTTTAAAAAAAACCTTTTCTGATTCTTATACAGGAAAACATTCCATTTTAATCTTGAAACATTCATCTGAAATATTTTATCTTAGACAATCACAGAAAAGTCAATAAACAAGTGTGGAATAAAAAATGAAACAAGAACGTAAGGAGTCCAAAAAAGAATGACAGGAGAAATAAGATTTCCAGAATTAAATAACTTTCTTTGATTAAAATTTTAAAAATAAAAAAATATTTTCATGATTACCCATTTAGACTCCAGTTTATCAACAGTTAAAAAATACTGCTATTTTTCGGTTCAAATTTCTTAAAAAAGAACTTTTTACAAAAAAAAAACTATAAATTTTCACAAAAATCAGGTCACCGATCTACCAAGGTACTTCCTAATTAACAAACAATTTTTAAAAAATGATTTTTAGCTGAATTTTTTAACAATTTATCTTCAATTTAAATTTTTTTAACAAAATTTTAACAGAGCAGTGAATTTTTTCTCCGACCGTTGTATCTTTTTTATCTGATCATACATCTGTTCTTCTCTTTTAGATCTACGCATTCTAAACTCTTATATACAAGGAAAAAATGCATTTTGACACATATTTCTGATTAATACTTAATTTGATATCTTGGCGCCAGAAAAATCAAATTAAAATAACTTCCAGAACTTGTAGATAAAAAAAAAGAAAAAGAAAGAAATTAAAAATTTAACTTTAACATAAAAATGTTTTTAAATATTCAAAATACATTAAAAATCATTTTAAAAATGTTTTCCTTGGTTACAGTTGGGTTATCTGGGTTTCCGGTCAGCGTACTCACAATCATATACATGTACAGGAAAAAACTTGCCAGATGATATCCCATAAAACCTAAAAATTAAAAAATGTTTGCAATTTCTCACAATTTTTGCAAACTTTAGTTTTTGATGATCTTCCTGGTTCAAGGTTACGAAAAATCCGAAAAGTTCAACGCAGTTAGCATAAGATACATAACAGTTTTGAACATTTAAGCTCTAAAACACATGTTTGGGCTATCAAGGTTGAGTTAAGATTTTAGATTAAAAAAGTTTGGTCATTTGTATTTTGAAATGTTAAAAAATCCCTTCAGAGCTTCATTCTATCTGAGGAAAAGTCGTACAACAGTCTCATTTTTATTTCCCTTTCTCTAGTAATGAAAGGAGCTCGGTAGGTTTAACCAATTTGAATACATTTCTGACTCCTGTCTTCTTTTTTTGAGGAATCTGAATGAAATTTTGGATATGGGCATTATTTGTGCTCTTTTTAAGTAAAGTAAAAAATAATCAGTAAACAAATATTTCCTCCCCCTTTTACTCATTTTTTCTATGTTTTTTAAAAGCTTTTTTTTTCATTAAAAAGTCTGATTCAAATATCAGCTAGGCGTTTTAAACACCGGCTTGTTAGTCAAGAATATAATTACTAATATCAGAACGAAGTTTAAGGTTTTTCATATCCCATTTTCCCCTATTTTAAAATATTTCTACGTTGTAAATATTTTCAGAGTTTCTGCATTCATGAATTAATTTAATTAAAAAATGTTTTTCAAACAGGCCTCAATTGGATAGTATTGTAGAACAAAATAAAAAAGGTGAACAAATTTTTCCCCCTTTCTCCATATTTTTTAAAGCTTTTTTACCAAAAAGTCTGATTCAAAGACAAGCTGTTAGTCAAGAATCTCATTACTAACATCAGATGTAAGTAATGAGATTCTAGACTTTGAAGGTAGGTGTTTAAAACCCTTAACTGGTATTTGAATCACACTTTTTGGTGAATAAGTTTTAAAAATCATGGAAAAAGAGGGAGGGCGGAAATAATTTTTCACAACTTTTTTTGTTGTTTTTTAAAAAGTATCCAATTGAGGTCTGTGTGCAAAAGATTTTTTAATTTCGATGAAAACTAAATCCATGAATCTAGAAAATGTGATAACTATTAACAAAGTGGGCAAAAATATGATAAAATAGGGGGAAAATGATCTGAAAAAACCTTAAATTTCGTCAGTAGGTAGGTGTTTAAAAAAATGAAATAACTTCCTTTTTGCTACTCAATAAAAGATTTTAAGAGTACTGTTGTGAATCGAGCATTAAAATCATTAAATCGAAGGTCTTTTTTAAATCACGTCGATAATTCCATTAATTTGTTGAACTATACCTAGACATTCTGCCAAGTTAAATCTCAAATCATCCCTAAACTATACCTAGACATTCTGCCAAGTTAAATCTCAAATTATCAAACTATACCTAGACATTCTGCCAAGTTAAATCTCAAATTATCCCTAAACTATACCTAGACATTCTGCCAAGTTAAATCTCAAATTATCCCTAAACTATACCTAGACATTCTGCCAAGTTAAATCTCAAATTATCCCTAAACTATTCTTAGACATTCTGCCAAGTTAAATCTAAAATTATCCCTAAACTATACCTAGACATTCTGCCAAGTTAAATCTCAGCTTATACCTAAACTATTCCTAGACATTCTGCCAAGTTAAATCTCAAATTATCCCTAAACTATATACCTAGACATTCTGCCAAGTTAAATCTCAGCTTATCCCTAAAAGAAGTAAATTTTAAAATAAAATAATTGTTGTCTATTATAATAATAATGATGATAACGGTCAATACTTCAAATTAAGATTTTAGAGTCAGGATTTAATTAATTTGAGCCAACTCTCAAAAACCGGGTTCAATTGAGCGCCGGCTTAAAATCTTGAAACATTTAATAAGATTTTAAGTGGAAACAACCATATTTAAGCCGCGGCTCAAAATCTTTAAATTCGGCCTCAGATTGACAAAATTTGCGCGACACAAATAATTTATAAGTAATAAAAGTTCTTCATTTTTGAATCATTTAAAACCATATAATTTTCCGAAAAATGACTGATTAAACAAGACCTGTTGTGGATCTCTGTTGGATCATATAGGCCTGAATGTCCTGGAGCTTGCTTCAACTTCCTGCAAATATATAATGATAATAAAACTATTATAAATAATTACAGGGTGTGTCCCAAAAAAAAGTTTTTTACGGGGGAATGAATCTACTCCCTCCCCCTATTGAATACGATAATATGCGAAATACTTTTACAATTATGGCTTTCCTTTAAAAGTAACCTGTGGATTTATGCCTGAGAAACACTGAAGAAAATTTGCAAATATCTATCTATCCAAACATATATATTAAACCTAGTAAATGATCTAGGATCTGTTTACCTATAAACAAGCCAGGAGGAGAAGGGAAGAGAAATAATTAATATTTTCCACTCTCCAGAACAGAGAAGGACCACACTGTGCAAAATCTAAATTAAACTTTTTGTATTTGTCCTACTGGATTTATATATATATATATATATAATCACCATTTAAAAAAAGTTTTTTTCTTGAAAATTTATATGTACTTTGCTCGTCTGTCAGTCTGTTTGTTTGCATAAAATAAACGTCTAAAAAGTATTTTTTTAAAGGCGCCAATTATAATAGAAAAATACTAAAGTTTGAGAGTGATTAAAAACTTCAAGTGCATCAGTTAAATGCTGAAATTTTTATAAGCCTAGTCTATTTAATATTTCGATTGCATATTTGATCACAGTTTAACAATATTCAAGTTACCACAAAAAAATGTTTGATAAAAATGAATGAAAAACTTGAAATAATTAATTATTAACCTGCAGTCCTATTCTTGGAAGAGTCCAAAAATTCATTTTTGCCGCACAATCTCTAGTGTTCAAATTCATAGTTTATTTTTAGCATAGAAACTTTTGATCTGTATCAAATATTTTTTCTTTGGAACGAAACACTTTGTCAGTGACGACACACTGTAGAAAACATACAACAACACAATACACCTCGATGGATTGATTGATTAGCTGGAAATATAAAACTTCATCCAGCTGACTGTTCAGTAAATCTCTTTTAGGCTAGATAGGCAGGGATGGTCCGTGTCAGTGATGAATCTCTATACTACCTGATCTGTGGGGACTATATGCACTTTTGAAATTGAGGGTAATCAGGGGCGTATATAGGAATTTGTCCGGGGGGGCTAAAAAAATTTTTCTTTCCAGTGGCCTGAAAACCCCCTAAAATCAAAAGATTTCACTAGTCCAGGGGGGGGGGGCTTAGCCCCCATAGTCCCCTAAATACGCCTCTGAGGGCAACTGCTTGATTTTTCATTTAAAATTTAAATATGACCATCACAGAGTATCGAAAAGAACTAAAATAATACGTAGCTCTGTATTAGATCAATGCTTGTTCCTGAGATTCACAACAAAAGTTTGAAACATTAATTGCCTGTATGTTATACATTTAAAAAATTAAAAATGATCCGAATCGGATGTTTTAAGGGCTACGTCGAACAAACATTATACATTCTTTGCTAATATAAAGTTCAGGATTCATGGGCGTTATCATGATTTGTCCAGAGGGGGGCTTCCATTTTTCTTTTTTTTTCCAGGGAGGGGGAATCAGCACCCATTGGGGCCTGAAAACCCCATGAAATACATAGATTTCACTGGCCCAGGGGTGAGGGGGGGTGGCTTAGCCTCCATAGCCCCCTCCCCCTCCGACTTTGCATGTCAGAATTGTCCTTAAGGTCGAGCCATCAAAGGTTCATGACAATCATCGATTTTGTGAGAAATTATGAAAATGATGAATTCCTGCTGTTAATATAATCAGATTCAAGATCTCCCAGCGTTATCATTAAATAAACTTATAAAAACAAAAATATTATTTTTAAACTTCAGTTGTATTTTCTCTATCTATAATAAAGTGTCCCAATAAACATGGCAATTGAGAGACGACTTGAATATCGTCGTGTATTTCCAAAAATTGATAAATGATATTAAGATTGAAAGTCTAATGAGCTTTCCAAAATGTGGTCTGTCTTCTTTGTATCTTAAAATTAAACATTTGAACAGTTTTGTTGATTTTCAATAAACTGGAATCTGGACAAATTTCCTAATATCTTCGTTAATTTTGATGGTATAAAAACCATTTTGGAAATCCCGAGGTGTTAAATGTTTTAACTGTGATACTACAAAATTATGATAACGAAAAAATCCCACAAGGAACAAAGGCGATATAGAGGTCGTCATTAAATTCCCATGTTTATTGGGACACTGTACAATAATCCGCTTAAGGAACGAAGACGATATAGAAGTCGTCATTTAGTTCCCATGTTTATTGAGACACCCTGTACAATAATCCGCTAATGAATATGTGATTATATTTAAAGTTGTCTATCTCTAAAAAAGTGCCCCGTATATTAAAAAAGAAATACACTGCAATATTCTGCTTTAAGTGGATTAAAAGAAAAGGGAGTATAAACTTAAGTTCAAGTAACTCCTAATAAATAGTGTGCCAGGTTCGATTCACAACAATACCCTTAAAAGCTTTGCCAGATCAAGATGGCTAGAGATATAAATCATCTTCTCTTAGAAAGTTGATTATTTTCAATTGTGCTCTATATATGTGACTGAGGATTTCTGCTTCAAAAGCAATGTTGAGGAATTTGTCAAAAAACATAACTTTTCAAGCTAGAAAATAATAAAAAGTTCCAAGGTTACCGTTGTATATCGAGCATTCGCTTCATTAAATAAGAGGTCGCTTGAAGTAACAACGAACTTCCCTTGGAAAAGATTTTTGAAAAAAATGCCTAAACAAAACTAAGAGTGTTAAAAAAATGTACTACTTTTTTCTCAGATTTTTTTGTCCCTAGAGTATAATTACAAAAAAATAATTTTTAACTTTAATTTCAGATTCACAATTTTTTTGTGCTTAGTTAGAGGACTTAATGTATGAACTAAAAAAAACTAAAATGTGAAAAAAAACACCAAGGTTGATTTTTTTTTATCAAATTAATAATCGAACTTGGGGCTAAGAACTTATTCAAATCCCATTTTTATTTCAATGTGTGATGAGGGGGGGGGGTCAAATCCAAAAAAAGTGGTAAATATTTTTGTTCCTGTAAGGAATAACAGCAAACTGGAAACCAGGATACAAATCATGTAGAAATATTCAGAATCCATTTTATATCTGAAAATGCAAATAATCTTTTAAATCTTATTTTTATTTATTTCTAAAAAAAACTGGTTTCCAGGGTTTCTCAGGCGACGCAAGAACACAAGGGCATCTGGATTCTGAGTCCTGAAAACAAAAACGAATAAATCAAAATGCGATTTTAAAACTTACTAATTTTGTTAAGCTTTTTTTTCATACCTTAAGCAATGTTCAATTTTACCCTCTTCCAGCTTTTGCAGTCTTAATTCTACAGCAAGTTCATCCAGCCTAGCAGTGGCCAAAGGAACCTTAACACATAAACTCTGACACAAATTTCTATCAAATTCAAAAAGTGACAGCATTTTCGAAATTTTTAAAAACCGCACTAAACAAAGAATGTTCTTACTCAACAATTAACAGATATTAACACTGATTTCTTTATCCTTGACGATCAGTTTAAAGGGTACCATTGTGAATCGAGGACGTCCGTCTTTACATGGAAGGTAACTTAAACTCACGCTTACAATCCCTTTAAGGGTGAATTTGGAACCCGTGTCACAAACTAATTTGATGATCCTCCAGAAATTAGTTTACTTCACGTTCCTTCTTCTTAAAATAATTTTACCTTTAATTGATACTTAAACTGCAAATTACAGGATTTTCGGTGGATTTTCATTGAATCATTTTATTGTTATATATTTCGACAGATTGAGGTCATGAGTCCATGAAATTTTTCTTTTTATATATAAAAAAGTACAGTAACAAAAATGCCAAATATGTAAATTTTGATTTGAACTAACCTGGGACGGATTGTGTACTAATATTTCCATTTCTCCAAGAATAAATCCATCATCAAGTTTGTCAATACAGATATTAATATCATCAATTCTCCACAACTCTCTAAAATTATGAATATTCTGTTTTCCAACTGAAGTTTTTTTAATGCAAATATATTCATTGCATATAATACTTGCGTCATGCGTGAAAGCTGGAATACAAATTTCAAAATTTAAAACTTCCATCTTTTTAAGATTATCTGATTATTTGTTGGCGAGCTTAGTGTATGATAAACCCAACAAACAAAATCTATAAATCTTTAAATATTCGGTTAATTGAACAAAATGAATATATATTACTTATTTTCAAACTCATCAACGTATCACCTGGTTGTTGTTAGTGTGAGCAAAATCATCCAGTCATTATCCGATTTATCTTCAGAAGTAGCATCAGGAGTATTTTCAAGGTTATCATTCTTTGCTTTCTTACCAAGTACATCTCCAGGTTTAAGATCTTCTAAATCTGCTGGAGATAGGTTGGGAAGTTTGATACCAAGTTCTTCATTTATACTTCGAACATCTTTCAACTCTCTAGGGAAGCAATCATGTCATGTCATTTTTAAATATTTTAATGATTTGATATGATATATGATATATGATATATGATATATGACATGACATGACATGACATGACATGACATATCATATCATATATCATATCAAATCATTAAAATATTTAAAAATCTAATTACAACGGACAATGACAATGAGCCAGATTAAAAAAAAGGATCCGATATTTCTGCTTTTATTTGGGTAAATTCTTTTAAAAAATAAACTTTTAAATTTTTTCTTTTGTTTAAAGAAGAAACTTGATAAACCATTCAATGATTTGGCTGATATTAAAATTAAGAATAATGTTTTTGAGCAATCAGTTTTTTTTTTGATGTTTTGGTTGATATTTTGCTACTTGGATCCGGCTCCTAAGCACTGCTCTGAAGGTAAGAACAAGGCAGTTGCATAATATTCCTGCTAACCTGTAAGTTGAATTAGAGTTCAAGTGATGAATATTCTTTACAGGACACTTTAGTTCAACCTTGCCATCCCTGCAAATCAAATCAGATCAAATCAAATCAAATCAAATCAAATCAAATCAAATCAAATCAAATCAAATCAAATCAAATCAAATCAAATCAAATCAATTTTTAGGGACGTCCTACAACCAAATAAACAATCTTGAAATGAAAGGTTTACGATTCGTAACGATTGTCCGTAGTTGCAATCCAATGCGATCATTAACAATTTTCCATGTTTAAAAACTACATGTCAGAAAGACAATAAATTATAAATTTGATCATTATGTCAGACATCCGACATTAATGCCAGACAAAGAACAATTTTTCACTTTTGAAATTCAACAGTTTAAACTTAAAAATAACGTTTTTTGTCTGGCTTTAGTCATAATACGTTAATTGTACAAACAAATATTTGAGATTAAAGGGATTGACCGGCTATGTAAGGTAGTCGAACTGAGTATGCAGTGTTGTGGAAAACTTCTTTCGGATTAATTTGAGACATATTAAACTTTTTAAAGATCTGTAAATCCTGAGTTTGAGCGCAAATTCGACGTTCAAAACTCTTACTTTGAGGGTGGATACGTTTTCAGATAATTTTTTAACTGATATTATTTTTATCCATCTTTTTTATTTGTTTTTAATCTAACCTGAAACGTAACCAATGATCTTTCTTTAGGAGCTGCAACCCTTGTCTATCAATATACACATCAGTAAACCTGGAGGTCTAAAATATAGACATCAGTAAACCTGGAGGTCTAAAATATAGACATCAGTAAACCTGAAGGTCTAAAATACAAACATCAGTAAACCTGAAGGTCTAAAATATAGACACCAGTAAACCAGAAGGTCTAAAATATAGACACCAGTAAACCAGAAGGTCTAAAATATAGACATCAGTAAACCTGGAGGTCTAAAATATAGACATCAGTAAGCCTGAAGGTCTAAAGTTCTACATCAGCAAGCCTGAAGGTCTAAAATATAGACATCAGTAAACCTAAAGGTCTAAAATATAAACATCAGTAAACCTGGAGGTCTAAAATATTAACAGCAGTAAACTTGGAGGTCTAAAATATAGACATTAATAAACCTGGAGGTCTAAAATATAAATATCAGTAAACCTGGAGGACTAAAATACCCCCTTCAGATTTTTTTCTTCTATTTCTCAGAAATTCGCAAAAAAGATAATTTATAATCTAAATGATTTTCCAAGAGGACGTTCTTTGAACATAAAATTCAGTGTTAAATAATCTTTTATTTTATCAAATCAAATCTGAAATGTAGATGACAAAGAATCATTTTAGAAACAGTTTTCTTATTCAATTCTTTAAATATTTAACCCTGCCTAATATAAACCAAAGCTACCTTAATCTGTTGAGCTCCTATCTTCTCCAGCATGATATTGGTATATTCTGAAGAAACCTGGAACTTGAACTCAACTTCTAGTTCTTCACACATAGGGACACTTCAAAATAATCCAATAGTTAGGAATCGAAGATTTTTCACTCTTTTTAATAATTCTAGTTTGATATTTAAGATTTACAAATTCTATACCTAAAGATGGAACAATCGTGTATAACTCGTGAAAAAATTAAGACAATCTCAATTATCTGTTGTTAATGTTGATGCTACATCAACAACACCATCGATTGTTGATACTTTGATACACTGTCGTGAATTGTTAATACACTTTTTTCAATTGAAGATCGCTTTAAACAATTTTGTAAGACTGTTATAAGACTATAAGTCAATTTAAAGGGAGAGTTAGCAAAAAATGCAAGGGGGTTTATGCTTACTACTTTGAAAAATATTCTTTAGTGATTGCTACCTAATCTTACTTATGTTTGTTTCGTCTATGAGGAGAAAATTGCTAAAAACGACTCATACCAAAGAAAGTAGCGTCCATACAAATTCAGAAAGTTGCAATACTCAACTTGGATAGTACAAAAATTTATTTAATTCCAAACATCATTCAGATGTAACAACTAATAATCATCGATTTTTTCTGACGCATTCGTATATAGTTGATATTTCATTATATTTTAGATTTAAAAAAAATTAATATTACACAATACAAGTTTACAACTTGTTTTCAAGGATTGTGCTGGATTATCGAAAGTTCCTGGAAAATGTGAATATGTCGTCTTCATTATCAAAAATCCTTGAAACAGAAATGAATGTTTCCAAAGTAACTCTAAGATCATAAAAAAATTATTATGAAATATTAACTATACAGGAATGCGTCGAAAAAAATCAATGATAATAGGTTGTAATATCTGAATGCTTTGTTTGGAATTAAATTGATTTTTTTAACGATCCGAGTAGAATATTGCAACTTTCTGAAGTTGTTTGGACGCTGCGTTCTTCAGTATACCTCGTTTTTAACAATTTTCTCCTTATAAACGCAACAGATATAAGTAAAATTAGTAGCGATAACCATTAAATATTTTTCGAATAAGCCTACCCCCTTTCATTTTTCGCGAACATTCCCTTTAACGATTCTACAGTCTACACTCTACAGGGTATCCCACAAAACACGAAAAGTTAGAGAAAACTACGAAGAATCTCTTGTTCATGTGTTCTTAGATGGAAAATAGGTAAAATAGCCCTAAAAACAGTGAACAGGCCCTTTTATAAATAAAAAAAATCTTTCCCAGGCGTATATATGGGGGAGCAGTGTCTCCCCCTAAACCTCCCGCATATCCCCCCCCCTGATTTATTTCTGTATGCGCCCTTAATTCTTTCGAAGCAGTTGTAATGTAACAACTAAAAATGTATCATGAATTTAGAAGTTCATATCATACTTGCGTCGTCTTCAAATTATCATGTAAAAACCAATTCCTTTACCTGGAGCTTTGATCTTTGTTTGCCTCGTAGACCAGCCTAGCCCAAATGCCGCGGCAAATTGTTACAATCTTTGCAGTTCCCGCCAATTCCCGCATTCCTTCAATATCAATGGAGGGTTTACTTCTGTATTTCAAATAAAAGTTGTAAAAGTTAGATGACAGTTAAATTATTATGTCAGAAGTAATTTACATAGAAATCGTTTCAAGTAAGAGAAAGTTATTTATTTTTTATGAAAAATAACAAAAACAAAATTAAGTTTTTTATGAGAAAATATTAAAAAACCCTCCCAAAGCAGAGGTTGTGGGAATATTTCCCCCCAATTCTAAAGCGTTTGTAGCGTTTTTAATATTAAAGGTTTACTTAAAAAATTAAAAAAAATGTCTTCAGTCGTTGAATTCAAGAATAAGTATATGAAATGAAGAATATAACTACCAAGTTATGACAATTTCATTGCCAGATTCTAAAGAACAATTACAAAAATTGTGATAGATAAATACCTTTTGCTTTAGTTTGTTTGAAAACTCTTTTTATGATAGTTGCTGAGGTAGAATACTTTCCTTGCTGCATACTGGACATGGCAACAAATAGCCAACACTAAAATACAAAATTCTTAATTCAGATTAAAAGATACCTTAAATACCTTAAATACCTTAAATACCTAAATACCTTAGCAATAACAGTTTTATCGCCAAATTTCATGGCAACAGCTAATTGTTTCATGGCATTCTCTCCTGCTCTGACTGCGAACTCCTGAAAAATCTAAATTGTAGAAAACAAGTGTTACATCTGTACTGTACTGTACTGTACTGTACTGTACTGTACTGTACTGTACTGTACTGTACTGTACTGTACTGTACTGACCTGTCTATGTTCTCCTAGGTTAGAGAAAGCACCACCTAGTGTAGAGAGCCAGTGAAGAGCATCCTCAAGTTCAATAAACTCCCAGAGCAACTACAGAGGGCGCTATTTTAACTTTCGTTTGTTGTTTAAGCAAAACAGATTTTTCGTCGATAAAAAGAATAATTTTTAAGAAGTTTATGGCAGAATTTTTATTTTCAGAACAAGAAAAAAATGAAAGCGGAAATTTTTTAATCCATTAATAATATTGCAAAATAAAATGTTTTTCAAAGTTTCTATGAAATTCTGAAAAAGGAGCTGAGTTCTTGCAACAAATTGTTAATCGATTGTTAAATCTAAACATCTTAGCATCCCTATGTCAAGAAACTTTCATATTTCAAACTATGATCTCTGTTGGATCAGTCTAAGTTTGAAGTACTTAAGGTTTACATCATCAGTTTGAAAAGATGTAGAGATTAGAAAATTTATGTTTGTGACAGGAACTCGAGTTCCTTTAAAGGGAGTGTTCGCGAAAAATGAAAGGGGGTATAGGCTTCATGCGATAAAAAAGCGCTTTTGATCGCCACTATATAGTTTATATTTTATAATATTTTTTAATTAATTTGTTTGTTTCTCTTATCGCTTGCGCAACTATCTAAGAATGCCGCACACCACTCACAATTTTAGAAATCCGTTGAAAACGTTTTCTAAAAAAATAAAATTTATAAAATATAAACTATATACAAATGTGGCGAAAGATAATCGATGACTATTTGTTGTAATATTTAAATGATTTGTTTGAAATTAAATTGATTTTTACGGTCTAGGTCGTATGTTGCAATTTTCTCAATTTGTATGGCCGTTAAGTTATTCGGTATGAGACGTCTTTAACAATTACTCCTTATAGACGCAACAGATAGAAGTAAGATTAGTAGCGATCAAAAGCGCTTTTTTTATCGCATTAAGCCTAAATCCCCTTTCACGCGAACACTCCCTTTAATAAAAATATTAAGACGAGTAAAAAAATGAGATCTAGTCAATTAATAGTTTATCTTCCTTGTTAGATATGTGGCATCCAAAATAATCAACAGTTCTTACAGCAGGTAAGTGCAGTTTTATTTTTAATATCATATTAGGATCATCTCTCTTAGCCAGGGGAGAAATATTCCGTATCCCTCGTCGGGTCCAAAACCGACAAAACTTCCTCCGATAGATATCACTTTTTGATATAAGATCAAAAAGAGCACTGAACAAAAATTCTATAAATCAGTCGCCTTTTAAATCAAAGATTTTTAAGAAAATAATGTTGTAAAATTCAAATAATAATAATAATATCTAATAATAATATCTGGGCTGGGAACTCTTGTATTGTGTATATCGAGATCATTGATCTCGATATTTTGTTAATCTTTTTTCGGTATGTTGATCATGGTATGTTAGGGATTTAAGAAACTTTTATAAGGGGAGGCATAACTGAAATGAAAACATAAAGCATTGATCCTCACATTGTTAGTGCCCACAATGGATTTAGGGATCAAGTGAGACTCTAGGGAGCTCTGTATAGTCTAAAGGAAAACTTTCGACACAGACCTTGCGTGTTCAGGATCCATAACTAGATTCTGTATCTGCGTATCCTCACTCAGGAGAATAGGTTGAGCAGTAGATGGTTCGGCTGGAAACAGGATGGGTGACCCATCTCCTCGGGGAGCAGGGGATCCAGATCTCGGTGAGCTAAATACATATTATTATATTAGATCGTTGACGTCAATCCTAAATTATTATCTTCTTAGTGTTAGAATTTTTAATAACACAAGTTGCAGGAAATATGTGATTGCAGAAAAAAAATATATATTTAAAAAAAAATTAAAAGTTAAAATAATAAAATCTCAAGCACGAATCAAAATCTCAGTGTAAAAAAATATTTAAGAACGATAATCATAGTATTTAGTAAATATCTTCGTGTCAGTTTTTCAATAAATTGCTGTGTAAATATGCGAGTACAGGAAAAATATTTTTTTTTTATACCTAGGTGGAGAGATGTTGACAGCTGTAAATGTCTGTATTTGGTTACAGCTGAGAACAGCTGTGTCTGCATACAGTTGACCTCTGCTGTTCATAACAAGCTGGTCAACCAATACATCACTAGCAAGTTCAATTATACTTCCTCTGCTTTACCATTCATAATATTTCTGCAGAAAGTACTGTACTGTACTGTACTGTACTGTACTGTACTGTACTGTACTGTACTGTACTGTACTGTACTGTACTGTACTGTACTGTACTGACATAATGTAAATAGTTATGAGTCATCCATAATTCAACTCTCCCTTTAAAGGGAGTGTCTGGCTAGACATAGTAGTTGAGCTAAGAGTGCAGTATTCTAGAGACATTTTTAGGATTCATTTGAGCCCTATCAGAAGTTTTTACGGTGCATATTTGTTCAGCAAGATCGCAAATTCAATCTTTAAAATCCTCGGCTCAACAACCATGTCTTGCCAGACACTCCCTTTAAGAAAATTTGCGAAACTCCTGCAAAAAATGATTAACGAAGTATTGCAACTTTCCTGATGTAGGAGGCTTGTATGATAAGATCCATTTTTATTTTATTTCGATCCTTTTCACTAAACCTTCTTTCAACAGCCGGGATTCAACAAATTCTAAAATAAATTTTTAAAATTAAAAATATTAAAATCTTTTCAACAAAAACTTTTCGGGATATCATTTTGTAACTTTGCTAATTACAAGATTCAATTGATTCCCTAGACTAAATAACAAAATTAAATATTTAATAATATTATGTAATTGTAAATTATTTTATTAAACTAGGCTTTCAGGCGCCAATATTCTATTTCAATAGTAAACATATTTTCTTTGTATTCATTAAAAAGAAAAAACAAACAAAAGTTAACAGATTTTCAAAATTTAATGAAAATCGATTTCTGTTGGAGGCAAAATTTTGATATTCTGCTCGTTCATAAGCCTTCATATGAGATACCACACAAAATTTGGGCCCGATCAATGCAGCCGTTTTGGCGTTTATTGGATACAAACAAACAGACAGACAAAACAAATTTATATATTATAGATTACTGGGCTATTTCAATTGTTAACATTTTCTCGATGTATTCATTAAAAACAAAAGCAAAAAAAAAGTTTGCGGATTTTATAAAAAAAAATTCGTCGATTTACAAAATTTAATGGAAATCGAATTTGGTTGGAGCTTCCTTTTTAAAATCCTTCCCTGGGGTCACGTGAGGTCCGATCGGTTCAGCCGTTTTGACGTTTATTGGATACAAACGGACAGACAGATAAAACATACAAGCTAAGTATATATATATATATATATAGATGGATAGATAGATATATAGATTTAATATAACAATAAATGAAAGATCAGAGCTGAAAACTTTAGAATGGTGGCTATCGAGATCAATGCTTGAACCTATCTTTTTCTTTATCTCGAGAAAAACCTAATCTTATGTTTTTATCCTGGAAAGTGTATAAATTCAACCAATCAGAGTGGAGTTTAAGGAGTGGGAAAATTTGAAATTTTGCGCGCCATTTTATGAGAGTTCTCTCATAGATTAATATACACAGTCGGGAGGGACTCTCTAATTTTGAAAATACCGGTTTTTGATTTTTCTTTACTATATCTAAAAAGAGTGGATTAAGCAAGAAATAAACAGTGTCCACATTGGATATTCGGATTGAGCAGTCGGGATTCAAGGTATCCCATTCTAAAGTTCCCAGCTCACACCAAATTTACCAACATTCACACGCATGATCTAGCAGTCGATGAACAATATTAAAATGTAATTAATTTAATGCGTCAAATAACTACAGTGCGTACTACATAATTCGTCCAATAGTAAAGCGTCATATTTTAAAAATTAGAAGAGATATGAAGTAAAATTACATTTTTGGTTTATATACGCTTTTTTATTAATAGAAAATAAAAAGGGACTCTGCTATGAGTTTGAATTGATACCAGAAAGAGGTTTGAATAAAGCTTTAAAATTTAAGTGATCTTTCCAAAGAAAGCGGTCAATATATTTACGTGACTCCAGTGATTGGTTGGGGTGGGGGGGGGGGGGGGGAAGGGGGGGGAAGGAAGAAGAGGGGGTAAAATTAAAAAGCAAAGTTTACCCAGAGCACTACCAGGTCGGATAATCCTATATTGACCAGGAACAGATAGATCAGCTACAGTAGATCCTAATCAATTAAACTTAAAGAGACAGTTGGTGTAATTTGAAGCGACCCTCCTTATAAATGGTTAAACTATCCTTGTTTTTCTGTCTTAAAAAGGATTATTTCTAATTGCGATTTCTCTCAGAGGCAAATTGAAGAAAAACAGAATTTGCTATGTTTTAAAGGACAATACTCTCGATTGATTATTCACCAGAAGTTCCCAAGTCACTTGGGTAAAAGAGCCACAATTTAAAATAATCAATTCTTAAAGAGAAAAACATAAAATATACATAAACTTTCTGATATGTCGTCTTCCTATTCCACAGTTTTTTGAGATATCCCTGATCCCTGTACCTAGTCTTGACTGTTCAGTATCTCCTAGAGGGCCAGCATCAAACACAGCCGATAATCTGAACATTGTGAAAAACTAACATTTTAATATAACTGTAAAAATAATTTCCAATAAAATCCAGATCTTTGATTTTACTGTTTTTTTATGAATTGTTTCTTGCAAGAATTACCTTTTAAAGAAATTGAGTCTTTGCCACAAACTCAAATATTCTAATCCCTATATCTTTGCAACTTGTAGTTAACCTTTGATATTTCAAACTGAGATTATTTGATCTGACAGAATTAATAGTTTTAAATATCTAAGGTCTACAACCTAGAGTTGCAAAATTTAAGTTTGTGGCGAAGGCTCAATTCCATATCAATATTTGTGTGTTTTAATTTATGGTACATTTCTCTGTTAAATCCGACTTACCTCTCGTGTAAATAGGAAAACTCTTGTACATCCAGACAACTCTGACCAGCACTATAGTTGGCAGAGGTCAGAGCAAGAGGAGAGTCACAGTTCTCGCAAACACTTCTAAAAATATTGTTTTTAAAGAGTTTAGTATTTAGCGAGTCATTACAAGGGTCTTAAGGCGGAATTTCAATAGCAGCATTTCTGATTGAAGCTTGTCTGATATGTTTATAATCTTGAAAACTGATTATATTCAACTGCGGTTTCTCTACATGAATGAATTTTGCTCTACTTCAGCAGGAAACCAATGTAAGAATGATCAGAATTTAACAGTTTTTAACCAGAATGATCGACGTTTTTTCCAGGTTATTGGTCTGATCAAGGTTTCAGAGGTACCGTTGTGAACTTGTGAATCGGGATTTTTTAAGTATAGGGTCACTTGAAATTAGATTTCTAAAAATTGACTCAAGTTTTTAACTTTAGGGATATAAATGATTATGTACCTGATAAATGTGTTGTCTGGTATACGAACTCCAATAAGCTCAGTCTCAGGATTGAAATTTTTATTCAACACTGATTCAAAATTCAAAATTTTAGGAACATTCTACATAATCTTATCTTTAAGGCTATTTCAAGATCATGAGAGCTATTAACAATTCAATAATGTGACACAAGGTGGCGCAGACTAAAATATTTGTATTATATATTATTTTTGTTTAATTGAAACTAAAATACAGAGGGAAAACAAGTGTATTTCCATTTTGAGATTTGAAATAATATTTTGAATTTCCTTGAGTTCTATTGAAAACTAAAGTAACAGGTCCAGGGAGCAAACTTTCAAGTAATTCACCACTCACATTCACCTAGATAATTCATTCAAGTAATTCACCACTAACATTCACCTATATAATTTATTCAAGTAATTCACCACTAACATTCATCTAGATAATTCATTCAATTAATTCACCACCAACATTCACCTAGATAATTCATTCAAGTAATTCACAACTAACATTCACCTAGATAATTCATTCAAGTAATTCATCTAGATAATTCATACAATTAATTCACCACTAACATTCACCTAGATAGTTCATTCAAGTAATTCACCACCAACATTCACCTATAAAATTTCACCACTAACATTCACCTATATAATTTATTCAAGTAATTCAACACTTACATTCACCTAGATAATTCATTCAAGTAATTCACCACAAACATTCACCTAGATAATTCATACAAGTAATTCACCACTAACATTCACCAAGATGATTCATTCAAGTAATTCACCACTAACATTAACCAAGATAATTCATACAAGTAATTCACCACTAACATTCACCTAGATAATTCATTCAAGTAATTCACCACTAACATTCACCTAGATAATTCATACAATTAATTCACCACTAACATTCACGTAAATAATTCATTCAAGTAATTCACCACTAACATTCACCTAGATAATTCAAACAAGTAATTCACCACTAACATCCACCAAGATAATTCATTCAAGTAATTCACCACTAACATTCACCTTGATAATCTATATATAAATTTGGCTTGTCTGTCTGTTTGTCTGTTTGTTTGTTTGTATCCAATAAACGTCAAAACAGCTGAACCGATCGGCCCAAATTTTTTGTGGGACATCACGTGACCACAGGGAAGGTTTATGAATGATAAAATTAAAAAAAAAATGTGTTTTAAAGGTTTTTAATTTTGTGAAAAAATTTTAATTCTTGAAAATCCGCGATTTTTTTTTTAAATCCGCAAACAATTTTTATTCTTTGTTTTAAAATGTAAAAAAAAGAACATGTTCACAATTTAAATAGAAGATGGGCGCGAAGCGTCATAGAAGCCTAGTTCTATAAATTTGGCTTGTCTGTCTGTCTGTCTGTTTGTTTGTATCCAATAAACGTCAAAACGGCTGAACCGATCGGGCCAAAATTTTTTGTGAGACATCACGTGACCACAGGGAAGGTTTATGAATGATAAAAATTTAAAAAAAAATGTGCTTTAAAAGTTTTTAATTTTGTAAAAAAAATTTTAATTCTTGAAAATGTGAACAAAAAGAACATGTTCACAATTTAAATAGATGAAGCCTAGAAAGAAGGGCGCGAAGCGCCTTGAATTTCTAGTTTTAATAAAAAAAACACAAGTAGAAAGCCTAGGGCTTTTTTTCAATAATCTGCAAATCTAAGACAGGGTCCCCCCCCCCCCAGTAGGACTAGGGTTAAAGAAAAATAATCGTCGATAGTGAATGTTTGCAAATTATGTATAAATTAGTTTCTTTTATCTCTACTGACTTTTTGTTATGCAGGTTTTATTATTATTGTTAAAACTGAAAAGCGTCCACCAACAAAATAAACTCTAAAAAAATGAAACTAAATTAAAAAAATTGAAAATGACATGTAGGTATGACAACACGGCCAAGGAAATACTGAAAGAATCATAAAGCAGAATTTACCAATCTATAGCTTTGGTGATAAGCAACCTTTTCTGCCTTTCATTTAATAGGAAATTTTATCCTGCAAAGCAAACTGTATTAGTATCTCTATAAATAGCCGGCTACATTCTCGAAACAAGGAACAAGCATTAAATATAAAAAAACATTTATTTCTATCTTCTAAAATCACAATGCCTGATCTGATTTACAAAAAGGGAACCATTCAAAACATGTCCAGAGTGCAGTAGGAATTATGTCTCAGGCTTTATTTAGGTAGAAGTGATGAACTTATTACAGATCCATTTCTGATCATAACTATAACAGCGTCTAAGATCCCAATAGCAAATAACCCCAACCACAGGCCCAGTGCACTTCCAATTTCTACAGTCAAGGCCCAAGCATCATATCCCGAGATGCTTTCAGTTAGTTTGACAGTTGGACTAAATTTGATCTGAATCTTGTTTTCTCCCTGCAAGGATGTGTCAGAGCTTATAGCCCTAACATTTATACTGGTACTTAAACAGGGGACTAGACACACGTTGTTTTCTGGCTCTAAATTTAACAAAAGATTTAAAGTATATGATCTAAGCACGTCAAAGGTTCGCGGTTCAAAGAACTTGTCGATAATTCCAACACAGCTGTTGGTTGCAGACATCCAAGGTATGTTACAGCCAATATCTTGCTGTACTTGTCTGTTAAGAGTCATTTCTAGGCAATGGGAAAAATTATGGAATTGAAACCCCTCTCCATAGTTAGTGCATTTCTGACCTTCTTGTGTAGGATCAATAGCTGTTTGCTCGATTTCAACTAAAAAATCGAGCAATTTTTTGAATTTTGCATTTTCATTGATTTCCAATTTTAATTCATCTCCAGTCATTGACAGTGTCGAAACTTTGTAATATAAGGTTTTAGCAGGGTCAGTGATGAAAACCTGAATAATTGTGTCATTGCTTCTTACTGCCAACGTTTTTCTGTTGCCTGGTGAAACCTCTCTACAATTTCCATATGGAAGAAGGAATCTGTTTTCTGTCAATTCAGAATCAGAACCAATACTAATCGAATCAAAATTAGCAACAAACACTTTATTTTTGCTAGCTTCAAAAGTTTGTTCTCCGATTCCTTGCCAGGACAAATGATCAACAGTGCTTTTAGGTCTTCCAAAATAAAAATCTGATTTGGACCAATATCCTAGGCTCTTTGCTGCATTCCAATCCGTTTGATTCATTGGACATATCATTATTGTTGGAAAAGTTATATTATTAATGTTTCTGATAGAAGTTGTTATCACAGTAGGATGAGAATTGTATTTGATAAATGCTATTGTTAGCTGGTAAATAAGAAAAACTAAAGCAATCAATTGGAAACAACGCCGACCTAGCTGTAAGAAATTCATTCTTGGTATGAGTGAATGTTTCCAGTGTGAAAGGTCGAGTATAAGGTAACACAAACTTTAAAGGCCTAAATAAACAAACCTTACACAATGCACATCAAAGTTACAAGTTTTATAATTTCTATTATTATACAAGCATTAGGCTTTCCGTAATAATTCGGTTTAACTTCGTTGCGATTTTTTTTTTACATTTTGTGAGACTATTCAATTTTAACCTTATTGCACGCAATAAATGCAATTAATTATAGCACAATCCGTTTATCTTTATTAAGATAAAGAAAATTCAGTTTGGCAGCGGTATGCAATAAACGCTTATGATGAATTTCACTGATATTTTAAAACTAAATCTCATGTGATAATAGATACAGTATTCATTAAGAAAGAAAGTTGTTGTTTATTAGCTTAACAACAAGAAACTTTAAAATTTTGAAGCTGTTGACAAATTAAAATTTCAAATGAACATAAAATCGGCATTTGTAAATTCTCACAATTACAATTAATCTGCTGCATAAATTTATAAGTCACAATTCAAAATTATTGTTTTTCAGTTTTAAAGCAATTCTGTTGCACACAATTCCGCAACATTCTGCGAATATTTAATTGCTTCCCTGTTCGCAATTTTAGCGCAATTCTAAGCAAGGTGCGCAAGCAGAATCCATCATTGCGCGAATCGCGCAATATCAACTCTAGAACATTAGCTTGGTTCAATGTTTGATTTAGTGTGGAGTTGTGACGAATGTATGGTACATTCAAATATTTGCTAAGTGAATTAATTGTGCTTTTTTCTTATACATTAATTTTCCTGTGAAGACCATTTATATGTTTAGACAAAATTTGGTTAAACAAATTATTAAACGTTCTCTAAACTAACTTAATGTTTATTAAAATAATTTTTTTTTGTTTAATATTTAGCTTAATGATTAACAATAATTTTCTAAAAAGATTAAATCCATTTAAATTTCAAAAAAAGGCAGAATTTGGTTTAAAAAACCTACAAAAATGTACATTTCTTTAAAACAAGCATAAGTCAATTTTAGAAATTTTTCAAAATTTCAATGGATTTAATCCTTTAGACAATTATGAATTTGTATGACTAAATGTCACTTCATTCCAGTCTGCATCATACAAATATCCCAACTTGGTCTTCTTTGGGGTACCCTAATGATGCATTTATAATGAGAGTTTTACCACATAACATCATATTTTAAAAATTATCATGGAAGTATGTTCCAATACACATGTTAAAAATATCTTCCGGGATTCATCATTCCATCCATACCCATTACCCAATTTAAAGTGGCGTAAATGTACTCTTAGCAACGAGGTTATAGTGTATAGAGTGATGATGTACGCTAATCCTTTACCAATTGTATAGGCCATCAAGTATACCGAGAGCGTACTGCATATTTGTTTATTATAGGGAGATTCTGGCCAAACCTATAGTATATCAATATTTGTACACTGTACAGTACAGCTAACTGAGCACACAGGTAGGGAACTATCATCCCCCCTGACTCTTGGCAGACGCTGAACTCCAACCTTCGAGTGTGCGAGGTGGGGAAGACTTCACTGCAGATTTTACTTTTGTGCATATCACTTTTTCAACAATTTTTAATTAAATTAATATTTATTCAGGGTTAGGTTAGGTTAAGACACTTTCTGGGCCGAGCGCTGCGGCTAGGACAAGCTAGGGGCCGAGCGCTGCGGCTAGGACAAGCTAGGGGCCGAGCGCTGCGGCTAAGGGTTAGGTTAAGTTATGACACTTTCTTTTATTTAGGGTTAGGTTAGGTTAAGACACTTTCAGGGCCGAGGCTGCGGCCAGGACAGGCTAGGGGGCCGAGCGCTGCGGCCACAAGTTAGGTTAAGTTATGACACTTTCTGGGCCGAGCACTGCGGCTAGGATTTAATCTCGATCTACAAATGTCATCCCCCCTTAATCATGGTTTTAATAAAGCGCGGCAGTGAATTCTTCCCCACCTCGCACACTCGAAGGTTGGAGTTCAGCGTCTGCCCTGACTTTATTAGCGACTTTTAGAAACATCATTTTGCTCCAAGACCCCTGTACATTTTCAATCTAATCTTGCAAGCATCGTCACTCCTGGATATACCTGGGCATATGTGTGGATGTCTGATATATTAGATAGACAGATAGCTACAGGTTTCAGAGGATCCCTTCCCTTCTCAAACAAAATTCAGTTTTATTTTAAATAAACTACTTTTACTCAGTGTAACAGATGTTAGGGAGAAATATAATTTCCGTAAATTTTAGAAATATTGCTCAAGAACTGGTTTCAGTGAAAAATATATAGCTGTAACAGCTTGTACCCAGACGAGTTCTGTTAAGAAATTGTAATCTTTTTTGTTTTGATATAACTGGTTTCTAACATGTCCTTAAAGCGGCGTAGAATTTTTTAATTTGTAAACTTCAGGGAACATTAGTTCTAAAACGGGTGTATCATAGGTATTTTTAACATTCAGTGTTAGAAATGGGTCAAATCAAGGTACGGAACTAATGTCCCCTGTATACAAAATGAAATTATTATCAAAAATATCCAGAATTTAAAAATATCTAGAATTTAAAAAATGGTGTAAATATGTATCAAATCTCTCCACACAAATAATGCACATGATAGTTTTCAAACTCAGTTTTAGAATTGAATTTCAGGATAAAATTAAACATGATTTTCCTTTATTTTATATATTTTTGCCACAGCTTCTGAGTTCTGCACCAGTCCTGCGATTCCGTAGATAGTATCAGTGGGAAGTCCAACAACTGCAAATGATAAAATTAATTATACATATTTATAGTAGTAAACTTTGTTTGTTTGTGTTTGTTTATTAATGTTTGTTAATGTTTGTATATCTGATCATAACTCATGAACCCAAAACTGCTTATTTTCTACGATAATATTCATTTGCGTTTTCTTCAAAAATTGACTTTCAGATTTATTCAGCAGAAACAACAGATTTATTCAGCAGAAACAAAAACGGATTTTTTCGGCAGAAACAAAAACGGATTTATTCAGCAGAAACAACAACGGATTTATTCAGCAGAAACAAAAACGGATTTATTCAGCAGAAACAAAAACGGATTTATTCAGCAGAAACAAAAACAGATTTATTCAGCAGAAACAAAAACGGACGATATATATTTTTTATAAGAAAATTTCTGTTGTGAATCAGGTGTGGAATGGAAACCTGTAAACAAAGGATTCCTCAAAATTCCGTTGATAAATCCTGTAACTAAGTGAAACAACCCGTCCAATATCAGTCAACCAGGACACCATCTTATTACCTTCTCCGCTGTTTAGTAGATCTGCGGCAAGCTTTACCGAAGCTTCAGACCCCGTCAGTCCAAGTTTTATTATCTAAAAAATAAAACCATTCTTAAAGAGAGTGTCAGCGTAATTCCAAGAATTAAAGGCAATGCCCGATTTACAACGGTACCCTTTTGAACCATTAATCTGATCAAAAATGTGGGGGGGAGAGTTTCTACGTTGCTTCTTATAAACAAGGAATACGCAAGTAGCTTACGAAGAGAATCCGCAAATGAAAATAAACAGTTTCAAGCAACAAAAAATTGAAATCTAATTAATGCTTGATTAAAAAATCGGGCATTAATTTTCTACAAAAATCAACACTGAATTTTTTTTTGATTAATTTAAGAAAATATATGTTTTCTACCTTTGACATGAAGCTGAAGTTTGTTTTAAACATTTATCTAAACAGCTGAACAACATTAACATCTGAAATATTACATCATTTTATCTTTAATTAAATAATTTAAAATTGTTATTATAATAAAGACATTATGAAAATTGAATATTTGAGCATTTTTTTATCATTTAAAAAAACTCGAGATTCAAAAATGTTTATCAAATCAAATATTTCAATTTTGTACTCATTATATTAAGCGTATGGTTTTCTGAATCACAACCTCGATAAAACAACATTTAAAAATGATATCTTCTTAGGAATAACTGTAACCAAATTAATAATAAAATCAGCAAAAATAACCCAACAAGGTAGTTTTACACTCCTAGAAGTCATATAAGACCACTGAAGGTCACTTGGGACCACTAGAGGACACATAAAACGACCCAAAGGTCACATTAGACCTGTGTAGAAGATCACTTTAAGGTCACATTAGACTCCGAGAGGTCAAATTAAATTCTGAGTGGTTATATTAGGCCCTGAGAGGTCACTTAGACACCGAGAGGTCACATTAGAACCCTAGCAGGTCAAATCAGACCCCTGGAAGGGCATCAGAATGAATTGCCAGAGACCACATGATTGGACCTTTAACAATGATCATCTCCATGCTGGACTTGATGTTGGTAAACCTGAAATATAAAAGTTTTCAAAGAAAGGAATCTATGTTAAGCTCAAGCTCAATCTCAACTATCGATAGCAGAGGAAAGGAAGGCTAACCACATCATTTCTGCATCTGATATTCTAAGGTGGCTCGGAAGAAGATTGTGACTTAACCTGGGGTGCAGAAATCATGCACCTGGCCTTCCCTCCCTCTTTAGGATACTAGCTACTTCTCAACTCTTTACTAGCTGCTCTTAAACTCTAAACCATCTCCTGTCTACACATTAACTGTTTATCTTACCTTCTCTTGAACTCTATACCATCTCCTGTCTACACTATAACTGTTCATTTTACCTTCTCTTTAACTCTAAACCATCTCCCCTCTACACTATAACTGTTTATCTTACCTTCTCTTGAACTCTATACCATCTCCCCTGGAGAGCCTAAAGTCCAATAGAACTTGTTTATCCATTTCTATGAGGGTTGCCTTGAACACCAACTGCATCCCCCTCCTAGAAAATGTGGGATATTTTACTGAATAAAACAAAATTAACCAAATAAAAAGCTTAGGGATGTCCTATTCGCCCCCCCCCTTCCCTCAAACTTGAAGTGAATATATTATATCAAGAATGAAGTGAAGTATTCAAATTTCTAATCCTGTATTAATATCTTTGCAACATGACGGTGTAAACCTTTAATAATTCAAACTTATTTGATTAACAGAATTCAAAGTTTGAAATATCTAAGGTCTACGATTTGGGTTTGCAGAGTTTGTAGCAAAGACTAAATTTCTTTATTGTGAATATTACCAAAATGTTTACAAAATATTGTTTGTTTACAAGAAACCCAGTTATAGAACTAGTTCTTTATTGATTAATACCTTGTAAATTGTCTAAACAACACAATAGCAGTATGAGTTTAGAACAATATAATCTAAGGAAGGTAAGAAAACCTAATTAAATCACAATCATTGTAAAATAAAATCCTAGTGTTTAAATTAATAATAAGTACTTTAAGGAAAAAAGTAATATAATTTTTGGAATGATGTACTGATCGAATAAGACGGAAAACCCTCAGAAAACGTTAAAAATATCTATAACAAAAACGGATTTATTCAGCAGAAACAAAAACGGATTTATTCAGCAGAAACA